TTTTTTGGGGAGGGAGGTGTTTTTGTTTTTTAAAGCAAATATGACTTCACTGCTTTAATAAACATTTTTCTTGGATATTTAGCTTGTTTCAGTGACTCCAGTATTATTGGGGAGCAGATGGATCTTCTCTCCTGGTATCTTGCCATCCTGACAGAATGATGGATGTGAGCACTTGAAAAATCTTTATCTTATTCTACATTGCTCCTAGATGTTTTCTAGCTCCTGCTTTGAAGCTAACACACATCTTGGCTTATGCCTCGTATGGCTCTTCCGAGCTTTGTGCTTTCATCATGTTGAATATTGCACATACTCATTCAGCTACTACATCTCCCTTTGTTTCTTCCTTTTTTCCCCTGTACTTATCTTCTCTCCTGGTATCTTGCCATCCTGACAGAATGATGGATGTGAGCACTTGAAAAATCTTTATCTTATTCTACATTGCTCCTAGATGTTTTCTAGCTCCTGCTTTGAAGCTAACACACATCTTGGCTTATGCCTCGTATGGCTCTTCCGAGCTTTGTGCTTTCATCATGTTGAATATTGCACATACTCATTCAGCTACTACACCTCCCTTTGTTTCTTCCTTTTTCCCCCTGTACTTACACATATTATAGTACATATACTTATGTACATATCGAAGCCCTGACGCTGCTGTAGAAAAAAATGTCTTTTTTTGGCTCAAGCATACTAATCATACTAATCAAACTTTTCACATACACACACTGCTGTCAAACATCCCATTTCAACTTAGTGCATCGTTTTCCTCCCAATGGATAAACTGCCTTCTGATTGCTGCTTATGATAATACAAACTAGATTTGTACACGAGGAGAGAGGAGCGAATGTCGTGCTCAACTTCAGCAAGGATTTGAACATTGTCTACCCCTGCATTCTTGTATCCAAGTTGGGATATTATGGTCTTGATTTGTGGAAAATGGGTAAAATAAAGACTGGCTGGAAACCTGGCTCAGGCTAGAAGGAAAGCCTTCAGGGAGATCTAGCAGCAACCTGCAAGTAACTCTGAGGAGGTGATTCAAGATGACAAAGCCAGGCTTCTCACCATGGCTCATAATGGGAGGATGGAAGACAAAGAACATAAGTTGAAACAAAAGAAATTCAGACTGGATACAAGAAAAAACATCTTCATCATAAGGAAAATCAAGCACCAGAACAGACTGCCCGGAGAGGTTGTGCCACCTCCATCCTTGCAGGTTATTAAGACCCAACCGGATAAAGCTCTGAGCAATGTGACCTGCTCTCAGAGCTGACCCTGCTTAGAACTGTAGATTGGACTCGTAACTTCCTGCGATCCCTTCCAACCTGAATTATGGTCCTAAGGCAATAAAAGCCCCATGTCAAGCACAATTTTATTGAGTTTTACCCCCCTGGCCTTTCTAAGTATACATTAAGATTGTTGTCAAATACTATTTCTGCCATACTGTTCATGAAAATTTGTTAAGATTGTTGTCAAATACTATTTCTGCCACCATACTGTTCATGAAAATTTATACAGCAGGTTCTATTCATACTGGATTAGAGACTGTGCTTATTATTCGGCATGAATCTATGAGGCAGTGTGCAATATGTTGTAGGGTACCATTAGTTTTCACAGTGCCTTGGAGAAACAGTACAAATTAAAAGAGGATGCAATTCCATTAAGTGTATGTTTCTGCATGTAGACAGGAAGAATCGCCTATAAAAAACCCAAATGAGATAGGAAGTACTGTTTTTTCAGAATGGTATCTGAAATTAACAATGAATCACAAGTCCAATATGAATAAAGAAATTCATGCTAATATTAAGAACGCCAATTTTTCTTAATAAAGGTGTCCTCTGCAAGACATGAATTAATTCCTCTTTTCCACTCCGTACTGATAAGACACCGAGTACAGCATTGTGTCTAATTGGGAGCGCTGTGGTTCCAGAGAGATATGGACCAAAGGGAGTAATTGGATTGAATTCCCCTGTTTTATCTGAACACAGATAAAAGCGACACATATGATCAGATGTCTAGAAAACATTTTCTGTGAGGAAAGGTTGAAGAAATTGAAGATAGAAAGGTTATGGAACACAAGACTAAGGGATGATCTAATAAACCTTCTAGTAGGCAATAAGTAGTTTAACAGAGGAATGGAATCATTTGTTTTCCTTCTCCATTCTGTGCAGGACAAAATGACCTGGGCCCAGGCTACACCAAGACTATTCAGGTTACATATGACAACAAAATTTCAGAGTAAAGACAACAAAATAATACAGTAGGTCATCACAGGCCAATAAAGAAACTTCCTTTATTGGGAATTTCTAGAGCCAAACTGGATAAAAATCTGTCAGAAATTTGGGAAGTGCCACTGACACCACCTTAGGGAGAGGAATGGAGAGATGACTCAATGACTTTCTACAGTTCTATGAATAACCCCATCTATAACGTCGTTTGGTTTCTCTTAATATAACATTGTAGGCAGCGCTAGTATTTCTTTGCTGTAGGTTTGTTTCCAGTTCTGTTCTCGGGTATCAGCAGCTACTGACTGCTGTGCAAAGTGGTGGTAGATCATTACTTTCCCACTACAGTACTTGCCAAAGTTTGTATTAGGCACCAAGAACTGAAAACAATTTTGCTTTTATGAAATTAAGTTTACTTCAGTTGTAGCCAAGTTTGAGTACTTTGTCCTTTTACACAGACAAACATTTTGCCTGGCTTTTCAAGAGTTATTAAGGATGCTACCTAATATATGAATTACACAATTTTAGCAAGTCTAAAATTATTTTTCTTATTTTCTCCATTTGCTTTGCCTTATTCACACCAGTGAAGTGAATTACACAATTTTAGCAAGTCTAAAATTTTTCTGATTTTCTCTATTTGCTTTGTCATATTCGCACCAGTGAAACTGAGACACAAGTATTTTATATATTTTCATATATGACAAATTTGGCAGACCTTACTCTTTCAAAACATGCATTTGACAATTTTAGAAGCTTTCCTCAATGCAACATATTGGATTGTCCATTCGTGGTATAATTTTCTGGTGCTCACATTTCTATTATGTGAAGAATCATATGTTTAGTGTTATTAAATTCCTGAAATTAAAGTTTTTGACCGAAAACTGAGTCTTCTAGTTGTCCATAGAGTAGAGCTTGCTATTTTCCTGCAGTATTCTACAAAAAATTCACATTGTCCTTAATTGTATTATGATCTTGCCACTGTATAATTTCAGTTCAACTTTTTCTCTTGAATATAATTCTATTTTCTTCCCTTGAAAAATGCTAAAGGATTCTTTGAAGCCTAGCACATTCACAGATGTCCCAGTATCTACTTGGCATTCAATTTCCTGTTTCTGTGCTGTGTCTTTACATGTGGTGGTACTCTACATTTTAGAAACCATTTAAATTGCGCTGCATTAATATATAGGTGCAAAATCTCATTCCTCCTGCCTCTCACTTCTTGCTTGCTTCCTTAGCATAACACACTTATTTTCCTTCTTCATTTGTGAGCTTTAGCACCCATACTCCCTTTTGAGAAAATCACAGAGTATGTTCCCCTGTGCTGGGTATTTTCTGTTATCATGCTATTTTTTTCCTGTAACGAAAGATTTTCCTTTCCACTTTGCCTCCTATTTATGAACCTAATTGTGGACTAATTTTGGTGCATATATTTTGCATTTATGTACTTTTATATACTTTGTTCTATTATTTCTGTTGCATCTAGTTGTTCTTTGCACTTACTTTGATTAGAGACTAAAATCCAAACTACACAAGCAGAAAAAAACTCAAGAACAATTTCTGTTACTTATATATCTTAAACTTAGGGAGACCTAAATAATTGTTTTTTCAGCACTTAGGACTACACAGTACAGGAAGCCAAGGAATGTTTTAAAGGAATAGACTGTCTCTGCATGTTGCTGATAGGCACTGTATCAAAATTACAGATTTGCAATTAATATGTAAAAATTTCATCAACCATTTAAAGCTGAGGCAGAACCTTGTTAATGCTGAAGCACAGCGATCAAATTAACTAAGCACACATCCTTAATTTCCTTGGATATACAACGTTGTATGTTGTACTTTCCATTAAAAGAATTTGCAGTAGCATTTTTGAATTCTGGATTGCAGAATTAGATAAACTGTAAAAGCGGATTTTGACTTCCATAAAAAATAATATACAGATTCATGTAATGTATGAGGAACAAGCTGATTTCAGAACAACCAGCACTAGCTATTGGAGGGCATGTTCCAAATGTAATTAGATTTCATTTGTGTCTGAACTAAAAATCTTATTAATGAACTATTCAATCTGTGAAAATTGGACTCATCGCAGTCCCCTTTTTCCTTGTGTTTGAAAGCATATCCAAATCAAAAGGCTGAAGACTCAGACTGGACATGCCCAATTCCCCTTATATATGTAGTCTGGATTGCAGATAGAATGGGAAATCATAGAGAAGTAAAAGCCAGAGATGCAGTTCCCAGGACATGAAGAGCTTCTTAAACCCCCTTTTCTTCATAATTCATTCTAACTGTGAATATCTCCATAAAACAGAACCAAGAAGATACTTGTGTGTGGCGGGGTTATATTATTATTCTATTTTATTATTTAAAACTGCCCTGAAGAAACCAAGGATACCACTGTTCTTTTAAACAGTTCTATTTATGTGAATGCTAACAGAAAAAGGTTACTTAGAGTTCTTATTAAAGGATTAGTTTTCCTTTATATTTTTATAGGACCTTCATAATGATAATATAAATTTAGTGCTACGGCTGCTCATAAACCATTAGGAACAACACAAATATCTTCTTTATAGATGGGAAGGTAGAAGGTCCTGAAAAATAATTCTAGTTTGAATGTATGGAAGTAAATTTATGTAAATTGCTGTCAGTCATCTATGTATTCATTTCACTAGCAAAATAACATTATAAATGATCTGTAGCCAACAATTCTTCACTTGAAGTCATGCAATGCAAATATTTATTCAAAACAGAAAATCACTTAAGGATAAGCATAAGTCTTACCACACCAATAGAAAAGTAGTTATTGATGATGTTGTAAGGCACTGGGTCTCCTTTCTCATCTTTATCATTTGGTATTACTTCGAATTTCCACCTGTCCAGCAAAATCTCTGAGCTGTTCTCAATGTCTTTTAAGATCTTCATCAAATTCTCACCTTCGTAACCTAGCAAAAACATAAAAACAGTTATTTCATCAAGCATAATAAAGTTCCATTACATTTTCTTTCTATTTCTAGATGGGACTCTGAGCAAGCTGATCTAGTTGAAGATGCCCCTGCTTATTGCAGGGGGGTGTTGGACTAGATGACCTTTAACGGTCCCTTCCAACCCAAACTATTTTATGATTCTATGACTGGAAAAATGAAAACTACATATATAAGATCTGAAAAACAATATTGTCTGAAGTATTGACAATTTTCCAGCACCTCTCACTAAAAGGAGTACAAATACAAAGCTGATTTCTGCACTCAGCTAAATTAACATAAACTTAGATTGATTCTACAGATTTCACCGAGCATCAGATTTATATTGAGAAAATAATTTGATCTTCAAAACTTGCCAATCCCTTGAATTTTTCAAATGGTTATAGCAGTTCACAAAAAAGCTAACATTATACTTTGCAAAGTGTTCTTGCTATGAAATTAATCTTAATATTTAAATTTCTTTAATTTCAAAATTCATGGGGAAAAAAGAGACATAAAGGAGATTTGTCTGATTGAAGTCTGAAAAGACAATGAAATGTTAAAAGCTCTTCACTATTTTTTGTCAATGTGGTTTGACCTAACAAATCCAAAATTTGAAATCCATAACCGATGACTCAGCAGAACTGAAATTTTCCATTTTTCAACGACTTCTTTATCAGCCTCACCCTGTTCTGTGACATTATCAACTCTGAATACTATCCAGACCAAATTAATTTGTAAGAAATAACTAAGATCTGTGGATTCGGTCCTTCTTCAAATCAGAAATAAATTTTCACATTCAAGCAATATCTACTTCCTGGGTCATTATCAGTTTTAGCAAACAAAGCCATTCAAAGCCTCCCTGCTCAAAACCGATTCCTGATGTATTTCTTTATGGTTGTATGGGAAGTTTTTGTTAGTTACTGACAACCACTGCATAACAGCAGCATGCACACTTCCATTTGTCTGCACCCTTGAGATCACTCATCAGCAATTTAGTTTCTGGAAGCCCTGTCTCCTCTGCCATCTACGAAAGTTCCAGAAAATCTGTGTTATGGCATTGTCTACCAAAATGCAACTGGGCAAAGAATGATGAAAACCAGAATATTTTCATACTGTCTTTTTCTACTGTAGTCCAGATGGAATCATTCAAAACAGAAGGTAAATAAACAGAAGTGAATGGGAGGACAGGTCCTGACAACTGTAAGCAAATGCTCTCATAGCTGACCTTGCTTAGAGCAGGAGATTGGACTAGTGACTTCCTGCAACCCCTTCCAACCGCAGTTATTCTATGACTCTACTCTATGAACTGTTTAGAAAGTGAAGCAAGGCTGATTTGATTTTTTTCCCTTCTTTTTCCCTCCAAGACTCTGTGAATAAACAATCACCAGTCGTGACAGAAAATAAAGGAGGTCCTCAAATGATTTGATGGAAGATCATGGTTAACAAAGAAGTTCTATAGCATGGAAACCACTGAGAATTTGCTAAAGACTATCTGGGAACAAGGCAGACATTTGGAAAAGAAACTTGCTATATGATCAGGCAGAAGAAGGAAGAGATATCTACAAAGGCTGAGAATTTTCATGTAAACAGCCAAGTTCCAAATACACAGCATCTCAACTGAAACGACCAACTGAGACCTGACATAGAACTGGCTGTGAGCCCAAAAACTGACACGCTTTCACCAGAGACTGTCATGCCTAAGACTTTCCTCTTTGTATCTCCTTCAAGTTATTCTGTAATGCAAATCCTGAATGGAAATAGGTTGGGGGGGGGCTGAGAGTAAGGCTCCGTACATCCAGGAAAGGATGCAATGGGCATTAGAGGTTTGACTTTACATATGTTCTCCTTTCAGCATTCTTTGCCTTCTCATTTCCTGAAAAACAGCACCACAGCATTTATTGTCTGGAATCCTCTGCAGGAGAAGAGAAGGGGAGTGGATCAAAGGAACTAGGCTGAGGCTGAGACACATTTTTCATTTAATATTTATGAAAATTAAAAAAGATGAAACCACTCCAAACCCATTATTAGCTGTTTTCAGTAACCCTTTCAGAACAGCCCCAATTAAAATCCATTTAAGAATACTCCCTTTATAAGGTATTGATCAAAGAAATAATTGCAATACAGATTGTAAAAAGCTATCCAAATAGCTATATGCTACTCTCATTGCACCTTGGAGCCTTTTGGTGTCAGGAGAAGCTACAAACAAGGTATGAAAAGTGATTACAACCTTTAGTATCTATGAAATTGTTCATACAACATTTACAGACAGCTAATTCCAAAAAGAGGAGAGGTGATAACAGTTCTTTACATTCATCATAAAAAAGAAATCCAAACGTTGAGAACAGACTTTGATGAAAAAGTGTTTTTTTTATCCTTCTAATTACATAATACATTGTATTTGAATTTGTTTACCTCCTCCCCATCTCAGACACCTTGCTAAATCATTGCCAGTCCCAAGAGGCAGGATAGCAACAGGAGGATGCTTAACCAGGTTCGCTTTCTCTGTCAATAAAGAAAAAAAAAATATTTTAAAAAAATAATACAGTATATAAGAAAGAGCAGTAAAATGAAAAATGTGAGTCAAGCAAAACAATTGTAGATGCTATTGATTACCTATGCAATCCAAAATCCAGCCTACTGTTCCATCTCCACCACATGCTAGTACTCTGAACTCAGAAACATCTCGGAAAAAATTTAACCTAAAAAACAATAAATGAAGATATCCATTTAAGTATAACTGCATTGTGCATTATGCAAACATTTTATGGCTTAAGACATTTCATTTAATAGTAAATGGCAAGTGAACACTTGAAATAATAATCACCTCTGCTCATACATTCATTTTTTAGACAAATACAATCCGATATTGTATTATCTGAAAAATTTAATACAAAATCTTTAATTCAAGGGTTACTATGGTACACTAATACTAGAAATAGCTTGGACCTGACGGTTAATCCAAATCTTGTCTCAGTTCAAATCTTGTTTGAAACTATTGCCAGAAAACATTCTCTGCTTACCTAGTTCTAAATGGATACGTAGCCGCTCAAAACAGAAAAGTCTAAGGTGGCTAAACGTATTAGCCACAAACATTTCCTTGTGAGGTCCTGGCTATAAAAGCTTATGAAAACAGCATATATCTGATAGTACACTAATCCATAATAAGATGAGCATTTTGTGGTTGAAAAAAACCCAACAACTTTGCACCATGGTTTAATACAAAATGAGTAAGCATCAGATTGAATGAATCCATTCCATCATCCTACAAACCATATTTTAAAAGTGAAATATCTTTGCCTGGCTATTTCTGCTTCCATATCCATCGAGTGCTGGACAGTACCACCACCTCATTATCCACTTCACTCAACACCAATTCTCCATAATGCTGAAAAGTGACGATATATTACAAGAATTCTAAATTGCAATATTTTAAATTTAAAAGCACATTTTCAGGATAGCTTTTGACACATACTGAAATTAGTCCTTACACATAATTTGTGACTAGACAAAAACCCTCCAGAAATTTTTCTGAATTAGTATATATATGTGTGTTCGTATGTACATTCATATATATTCTATTCATTAGTATCACAGACACCTTAATGCATATTCTATATGTTAGTGACCAGATTTCATTTTCAGTTTGAAATTTCCTAATAAATGTACAATTAGCACATTGTACTCAAACTCTTAAATACAAATAAATACACACAATAACTTGCAAGTGTTTAATTCAAGTTATTTCCACATGAAACTTTAATGTTGCACAGAGAATGGTGCTCCTGTCCCTAGAAAGTTTAAAAAATTATTTTAGGCCTCTTGATATAATCAAGGACACATGGAAAAACTACAGAGTAAAATAAAGAGCATGGGAGAAGGAAATGGAAAGCACAATGGTCAAAAAATGCTATTTAAGATGTAGGAGACAACAGGACTTCTTGCTCTATTAATTACAGACCAGATTTTCAAGGTTAGCAAAGCTACATAGAATTAAGCCCATCACATTGTCGTCCTACTCCCTCTAATTTTCTCTGCTCAGAAGAGCTCTTAGTCAATATCAAGTGTCAAGTACAGTGCTTGAAGGATGCTTACTCGTTCTGTATTAAACCTTGCTTTGCCCTTCTCACTTCTTACGTTCTACTTCACACATCCGCAGGACAAGTGCTCCAGGATCTCTTCTGATCCAAAACTGTCACGTGCCAAATCTGACTGGGTACAAGTCTTCTAATGAGCATATGTGCTGAAAGACCCTCTGCTGGAAGTCACGTCCTACCACCGTATGAGTGGGCACTGAGATACGCCCCGGCCCACAGGTGCACATCTCTGTCACTTCACAAGACCTGGCAAAGAGACAAATGCCTCCCACCATCAGCGTTCCCACTTCGACCCAGTGCGTTGGGTCTGTAGAAAGTTAGCAGTTCTAATTATATTGCTTCCAGTTCTGAGGGTATTTCAGATTAATTTAGAATCAAATTATAGCCAAGAGGTGACGGCAGGGTACTAACTTGTATAAATATTTAAGCATTTCCACCACATGTAACAGATGTCAAAAAAGAAAGTCTGGAAAAAACCAAACCAAAACAGAACAAAAAACAAACAAACAAAACCCCAATCAAAAAACACCACCAAAAGTACAGGGTTGATGCTGGCATTAATCAAGACAGGCAGAACATTGACCTAAACCTCTGTCTCACTTTTCATAAACAAGCATCCTCACCATATGGCTATCAAACATTCTTTTTGCTTTGACTGTATATTTAATCTTCATCAAAAAAGTATAACTTTCCTAGAAAGTGGGGCATTGAAAAATGTGTCAAAAAAATTCTTGAAAAGCTTCATTCCCGTTTCCCCTGGAGCATTTTATATTCACGCACAGTGAATTTTCCAAACAATTTCATAGTACGCCATAAAGTTCACGTGACTTTTTCTTTTTTATAAACTTAAATATAAAAAAAGATACATACATTATATAATACATAAATTACATTAAAATATAATATACCTTACATTGTATATTTGCATATATAAACATAGTGTATCTAAATATACTATAGCAAACATAAATATTTATAGATTCAAATTAATTTATAAAATTAAATATAGTTATATAATTATATATGTAAATAAATCTCATTCGTTGAATTAGAATGCACGGCCTACATTAAGAGTTGGTAACAGAACATGGTTGTCTGTTGATAAGTTTCATTTGAACTCCATAAATTAAAATTGCAAAGAAAGTATTTGACAGATTTCTTAATAGAACTGAAGGTAAAGCGTAAGTATTGTCTATCAACACAGCTTTAGATAATTAGTGTTTTAATAGCACCTGTTACCTCTTACCCACAGAACATTTTTATGTGGTTTGAAAAAAACTATGTCGGAGAAGAACTTAGTAAAAGTGGTTTGAAGTGGAAGTAGAAAAAAATGACATTTTTATGTGGTTTGAAAAAAACTATGTTGGAGAAAAACTTAGTAAAAGTGATTTGAAGTGGAAATAGAAAAAAATGGAAGTCACCAAAAAGGCTTTGTGAACTGTCAGACTGAAGTAAAGGACCAGAATAGAAAATTTAGTCTTATTTTCTTGAACTCATTTATAAAATTGTACAAGCATTCTAGTTATATATAATAATAATTTACAATCTTATTTTCTTGAACTCATTTACAAAATTGTACAAGCGTTCTAGTTATATATAATAATAATAAAATAACATAAAATATAAAGCAGTACTTATAATGGGGTTCTTCCCCAAAAGTTTTATCTCTACTTAAAAAAACCAAACAATTATTTTTTACAAATTTAGATAATTACTCTTTACATAGCACAATATGGATAAAAATCTTATGACAGGCATGACATTAAGTATAAAGGACAAATGTTCATTATATCAATAACCTTTGCAGAAATTATGTCAATAACTTTGACAGAAATTAAAGAGAATATGAGAAACAGCTAAATCAGATACTTCAAAACATGTATGTTATTTTTATCAAATTCATTTGTACCATAAATCACACAAAATCTTTAAAAGAACACATTATTTTGATTTTTTTTTCACTGTCCCTTTTATTTATGAATATGAGAATAGATAGATATTCTTTTATGCAGCTTTTATTTTTATAGACATTATATTAAAAAGCTTTCCCATATCACTTCACATAAGTCAGCAGAACTAGAACAGTACATGAGAATATTAGGCTGGTACAGACTGTAATCCAAGTTACACTTATTCTTCAATCACTAGCAAAAAGGCAGTAAGAAAGATCAGCAGAACTTCTACCAATGTCTCCTTCCACAGGACAAACATACATTTGGGAATAAAAGATGAAAAGCCACAAATATAATAATCCATGGGAAGGCAACAAAAATATATGGCCTTAAACAACAGAGCCAACAAGGCCTTAAAACAGCAGGATGCTTTTGCTAGTTGAATTGTTAGATGATTCTGGAAAATGAACCATTTTTCCTTCTACTGAGAAAGGCCAATACAAACAATCCCTAAATGTGGACTACAAGAGATATTATTATATTTGATTGCATTTCTATCATCAAAATTGACAAGATCATCTAATTCTTGCCTGATGATCAAATTCTTATGTCATCAAATCGCCACTTCCCTTTTCTTACAATATTTCCCAACTCTTCACATCCTACAAATTGCAGGAGCACACATGCACTTCTTAGTCCATGGTCAATAGTAAATGGGCTCACTCATAAGACTGAGCTGAAAAACCTACCAATAGGTATCTCCATCTTAATAGCTCCCTGTTTTAGTCTTCCCTAATCCAGTTTCCTATCTGCTGGAAGTAAAACAAATACATTTAAACCACTGAAGGTATTTGATACCAGCCTATTTGTATTTTATTTTGCCAGACACAAGCATCACATACAGGCAATTATTGAGCTTCTGCTGATAAATTAGTAATTTCCACCTGAAAGTTGGCAACTGTTTCAACTACCCATAATCATCTCATCAAATCCATGTGAATGCTGAGAAACTATTTATGACTAAAACACCAACGTTAGAGGACTTAACCATTTGCTGTTGAATCCTGCATTTAAGTAATCAACACACAGATAACACTCCCCTCCTTACACACACACACTTATTCTGATAGAGTAATTATAGTGCCATTATAATTCTTATAAAATAATTCTAAGTATGTAGAGCTAAAAAAATAAAAAAAAAAAGGTTATCGGGAGTGGTTGACATGGATTCACCAAGGGGAAATCATGCTTGACCAACGTGACAGACTTCTATGATGGCATGACTATCTGGGTTGATGAGAGGAGAGCAGTGGATGTTGTCTACTTCAACTTCAGCAAGGCTTTTGACACTGTCTCCCATAACATCCTCATAGGTAAGCCTAGGAAGTGTAGGTTACATGGGTGGACAGCGAGGTGGATTGAGAACTGGCTGAATGGCAGAGCTCAGAGGGTTGGAGGGCCTGTAACTACCAGTGTTCCCCAGAGGTCAGTACTGGGTCCAGTATTGTTCAACATATTCATCAGTCACCTGGATGAGCGGACAGAGTGTACAAAGGCTACAAAGATGATCAAGGGACTGTATGAGGAAGGCTGAGAGACCTGAGGCTGTTTAGCCTGGAGAGAAGAAGACTGAGAGGGGACCTCATCAATGATTATCAATATCCAAAGGGTGGGTGTAAAGAGGATGGGGCCAGACTCTTTTCAGTGGTGCCCAGCGACAGGACAAGAGGCAATGGGCAGAGACTGGAACATAGGAATTACAGTAAATCACTCTAATAAAAATAGTTTTGATAAATCCAGTCTGCCATTGCATGAGGCAGCATATTCATCTCCTGGAATGGCATTTTAATGTGCAAAAGTTAACTGGTAGACAGATATATTGCAGCTGAAAATACTGCTTTCAGTTCATACTTTCTAAAGATAAAGGTGGTTGCCAATTTCAAACCACAGACTTGCTAAAAATCATGATGGCACATTTAGAAAAACAAGATCCCAGCCCTTCAGTGTGTGATCACCTGGGATATTATATATAACTGCATCTGGAGCTCCATCAAAAGAAGCATGACCCGCAGGTCAAAGGATGTGACTCTCCCCTTCTGCTCCGCTCTCTTTTTTGGGGTGACCAAGAACAGAGAACCAGGTCACGAATGTGAGGAAAGACATATAACTCTAAACTCAGGGTTTAGGTTTATCATGAAAACTTAGAGTTTGAGGTTCTACTAATTTTTAGTGCACATCTGTAACTTTAGAGTACAACCAACCCATCACAGCTTGCTTTGCCATTCTTTGGCAAAAATGTAATTCTTCCAAAGAAACACAGACCAGGTTCAAGGTTTTGTTCAGGAGAAAATAACTATGCAGTTATTTTTGTCTAAAAATATTCTTGGTGTGTAAGTCTTCCCAGAATACTCTGTATATTTCAAATGTCCAACAGCAAAGAAATGCTCTAGCAATCAGTTCCAATAATCAGGGAAAATAGTGTAATTTTCAAAATGGGCCTATTGCTTTGTGAAGTTACAAAGGCCCAGGTGCTGTAGATTCCCAACAAAATTACAGAGTAAGTTGCAGGGTTTCAGTTTGGCTGTCTTGGGCATCTTTTAACTGGACAGAATTTAAGATTTAAAAAGGCCTGTTGAGGTAAACTTGCGGATAGAATTTAAAAAATACATGCTCTCCAAATTAAATGCTTAAGGGAGTTACAAAGAAATACAACTTTTGTGGATATAATTTCTATTATAGAGTATAAAAATAACATAAATTAGACATTTTAAATAATAGACTTAAGGGAACGGGAGCCTTTTCAGAGGGACAAAGCCTTTGTGAAACGGTGACCTCTCCACAGAGCCATGTGGGTCTGTGCCTCGAGTGCCATTCAGCTGGCTATTATTTACCTCTCTGTGAGGTGAACAATAACTGAATTTCAGATTCTTCAAGATCATTAAATCCACAATAACAGTTGTTGTCAGAAGTAGAAGACTCCTATAGAGCTGTAACAACCAAACAGGGAAACTCTTTTCAAGGCTAAAAACACAGGTGCTAGGCACAAATTACACAATGTATCAGCCTGGCAATTTTCATGTCACTTTGTTAACTGTGGCAGTCTGTAACTGCCGAGCGAGTACCTTTTATGCCTGCCTTCAGCTGCAGAGCTCACAGGGTTTTTCTCCAGCTCACCCGTATCTCTCTACTCCCAAATAAAGAGTGCCTAAACCATTCATTATTACACCCCTGTTTAAAGTGCACTCCTGCCCGTTGGCTGAGAGCTCCCTGATTTTCAGGCCCCTCAGGAGGTCAGTGTCCATCACTGCAAAGGAATCAACGTCCGAGTCTCGGCTGCCGCGCTAATTATTTGCTTCATGTACATATTTCTGTATGGATTATGTACATGAGTCTTGAAATAAACAGCACCAAAAACCTTAGCTTAGGCACGCTAAGAAGCTACAAGAAATGTCTTTGTTGCTGTCCCTGCAGTTGTCCAAGTGCCATCCCATCGATTATGGAAGTAGGTGATGCATCCACTTGAGTAATTGCATGTTCAGAGCGTGACACCAACAATCACTGTCAACTTGTGCTAAATATTTTTCTGACCAGCATATTTATAAAAATGCATATAAAAATGCACAATAAGTGATATTACAAAAGGGTTTTTTTGGTGTGTATTCTTTGGTGGTTGTTTTTTGTTGGGGTTTTTTGTTGGTTTTGGTTTGGGTTTTTTTTGGGGGGGGAGGTTTTATTTTTGTGTGGGTTTTGTTTTTTGTCCTTTTGTTTTGTTTTGTTTTAAGGAGAGGTTTGAGAGGGAAAATAGAATGCATTATTTCCAGATTTCAAAGAAACTCAAATATGGGACTCCACTAGTGGCTCTTCTTCCACTGAACAAAGATTATTTTAACCCTGTTCCAACCCAGGTCTGCTAAGGAGCCCTTCATTCCATATATTTCAGTGAAAAAACATGGCTATCCCACTGAAGGGGAAGAATGGAAGACCTAAGGATTAAGCTGCTGATGTTTTCACAAAAATACAGCAGTTTCACAGTTCCCCTAAGATTTAGGATTTCACTGGTCTCCTCTTGTCTTTCTCCCTGTTACCTAAGCAGGAGATACGGAGATTTTCAGCAGAAATGAACTGGAAATATTAATTCACATTAGCCACAGATGTTTGGAACTTGAGGTAGAAAACTTGTGAATGTTAACTTCTTGGATGATGACTGCAGCCCATCAGAAAAATACCATCATAAATAAAAAACATTAATTTGTGGGTTAAAGCAGACAGTTTGGCTCTATCAAAAACATGCAAATGCTACCCTAAGACTATAAGCATTCTATAGGTTGACTAAACACATCTGAAATCAGTACTCAAAAGAAAAAAATCTCTCAGACTCAATTGAAATGTATTACAGTAATCATAACTGCTTTAAAATAAATATACATAATGTTTATCCCTTTGCACTCAGCAACAGTAATTTGCATAAAGAATACACTTTTGGTTTTCTCTGTACAATCCCCCACTCTCTTCCATTCCAAACGAAATGACACATAGGACAATATTAAATAAATGTACCATTTTGATTGACAATCCACTATATCTGGCATTATAGAGACAGATGAATGAGTGGCTGGATAGATGGATGGGCAGGTTTTAATACGCTTTCCAGCCCTCGCAGAAAGGGAAACAAAGACTGGTAAGTGAAATACTGTTTATTCAACTGCTTGCTAAAGGGAAAAATTATATGCAGCCTACATAGTATTGCCAGGGGCAAGAAGTGATGGCAGGAGATAAACTGGAAATTTAGGATTATTCATTTCTGTGGAATGAATAAAAAATATACCAAAACAAGCTTAATAAAATGCAGCATCTGTTTGAAAATTAATTAGAAACTTCTTCAAAGTGGCTCTGAAGTAAAACTATTTCGATTCCTAATAGGAAGAGAAATTGAAAATATTTTCTAAAAAACACTGTCCTGGTTCAGAAGATTAAAGTTTAAATAGCTTCAGTGCAGGGTTTCAGTTTGAACTTAACACTGCCCTCTTGTGCTTCTGCCTTAAAATACATTTCTCTTCACATCACAAGATACATGAGAACCACAAGTCAGTAATATACAGAAATGCAAGCAGTGAGTGAGTGGTTGGTTTGGGTTTTGTTTTGGTGGGTTTTGTTTTTGGTTTTTGTTTGTTTGTTTTTTTTTTTTTACAGAGGTTCAAGGAAATAAGATGAATTTGAACAAAAATATTTCAGTTGCTTTAAAAATCATCATCTCAATCTCTAATATGGCACTTCTTTTATACTGTATGTTAAATAATATTAGTTGCTACTTTTGTCTCAGTTAAAATTTCTTATAAATTCCTGAAATACATTTTTGCAGTTTTTCTAGTCCACTTACATTTTGGACTTACATTACTTATATTTTCCATATGTCAAGGCTAGCATAACAAACCACAGCAAATCCCATTTGAGTAATAAAACACCACTTGCATTTAGGTAGAGGTTAAAATTACAGGCATGAAAGAAATGATGCATGTCATTATTTCCAATTTTTTCAGCAGGCTGTGCACCATTCTGTAGGCTGCACATTAGCCACACTGTAGTGCAAGGTATCCTGAGAATCTTTACTTCCAAATGATTGGGCCCAATCCACTTTTGGCAGAAAAACTGTCAGAAACTGTCAGAGCATACTCTTTCTAGTAATATATCTGTGACAACTGAAATATAACCACATACATTTCCACCTTCATCTTATTTTCCTCCAATTTAAAAGAAAAAAAAAAAGTCTAAACAAATAAAAACTCCCAAGATTAAAAAGAAAAGTATTCAACCAACATTGTAAACTTCACGTCAGTGAACATGAATGTCCTAATATCCTTCTGCAAACTCTTCTCATTGATGTAAAATTTAATGTATCAGTGACATAACTAAATAACAACTAGTAAATACAAAATGAATATACATATATTACACAGACATATACATATCTGAACATATTGTGTTTATGTAAAGGGAATGTACGTCCTACAGGTCAGTCTTTGAGGTTGCTTGATACTTATAACATAAAAGAAACCCCAGCAAGATCTCAGGCTGCTGATACAGCAGTAAAAGCTGCAGATAAGATGAAATTTATCCCACAGTTCTTACAGAGGACTGCACGGTTATCAGTAAAACATACGATACGCAGTTTTATTTGTACATGTAAACAAATAATACCTGTAAATTTCTGCAGTCATTCAGAGGTTGCAGTGTTGATACATTCAAACATGCTATATGTGCCTCAGTCTGTTCATTTGATTATGTAGCATTTTATTAAATGAGTTCCTGGTAATAAGATTAACTGTAGACTTACCCTGGCATTGGTCCATTTCCAGAAAGACTATAAACTTGACGAGGATTTAAAAGGTACTGAAATTTTCTATAAATTCTGAAGAGGTAAAAGAGACAAGGAGACAATATTTACTTATATGTTTGGAATTTGTTTTAAAACGTATCAAATGAAAGAATTAAAGCAGTTAGCATATAATATAATTATTTGAATTGCAAGATCTCCTTTATACAAAAAAAATCAAATATTTGAACACGGTAATTATAATTCATACATACAGTGTACTGTGGGTATAAAATTGAGACAGAAGTGCTACAAGCTATCTACAACTCCAATGCTGTACATAGAGAAATGGGAAAAAAAAGGGGTAAGGACATATCTACAACTCCAATGCTGTACATAGAGAAAAGGAAAAAAAAAGGGGTAAGGACAAAATGACACAAGAAAAGGTGAGTCAAAAAAGCATTTGGAAGAGCACGTTCATTTCCATTACAGTAACTCCACGGTAAAGGAGAGATTTATTCCTGAAATTCATTGCTAACACAAAATTACAAGTGTAACTAATTACAAAAGCAAATTGTCTTTGCCACCCACCAAAAATGCCCCCATAGGTTGAACAACATTCTGAGAAAGCAAATCCATTGTCAGCTACATCTCCTTCAGATTATATTTGAATGGGAAGAAAATCAAAAAGATTCAAGCCCATTGCTTTATTTAAATTGCATGTATTTTAAAATTATCTGAATAATAGGAAGCAATTTATTGATAACAGCATGAAAAGCATTGTCCCAGCCCATAAGGGACCCCATTTGCTGTCCCAGCCCCAGCAAATATTTCTTTAAGTGGCAGAATATTTAAAAAACTGTATCTTTATAGATTTGAGGCTACTTGTCCTAAAAGTATGACAAACATTTTGTTTCTTCACTACAAATATTAGAAAGGTAATTTTTCTCCATTGACTACAGCACAGTAGCTGCTCCATTTCTTACACAGAAACAAGTGAGCACATGAAAGAGTTGGAGACTAGAATGTATAAATATAACTGGGATCTATGGCAATAGTTTAAATTATAAACCCCTGCTTCTTGCTTTTAATTTTAATGTTTATGTCCTCAAGGTAATTAATATTTTAATGTTTTTAAGAAAGCATTTACTTTTCCACTGTAACTTCTATTCCTTTCTTTTTACTGCCTTAAATAAAATAGAAGTATAGTAAGAACTGAATTTTAAGTTAAAATGTCCATGTTTTCAAATTCAGCAAAATAACTCTGTCTAGACACAATCTATGTGCACGTTGAGATTTTTTTTTTTAATCTTCTTAATAGCAATGCATAATTTATCAGGCTAGGTGGAAGACAAGGGTGTAAGAATACTGAAGACAAACAAATTTATAATTATCTCTAAAATTGCCAAATTGGAACATTTTCTTAACTTCTCAATTATTTAGCAATATCAGCTTCTTCATAAAGGAGTGTGTTCAAACAGACTCCCACAATCTATTCCTGATGCCATTCCTGACAGACCGAGTCAATGTGCAATGACTGCTTTAACATTGCAAGTACACACACATCATTGTCGATGGCTGCGATGACGACTAAATCAGACAGTTGACAGTGGATTTACACCACAGTATACTTCCATTTCAATTGCAGCAACTCACCAATGTAAAAAGATCCTATTTTTAACTGTCTAGTTAGCATGTGTAAGTTGCTTCTCAGTGACATATAGGATTTAACCTGGCCAAAGGCGCTGCTAACTTAATTTATGCTGACAGTAAGAATTTCACGAATAGTATTGTTAAAGGTCCCAAATGTTTAAGAGTTATTTGCCTTTACAAAACATACTAGCCATTCCTTACACTCATAATACTGTTGTCAGGTATCAGTAAAGTGCTATAAAACCCTTCTTAATAAAGAGGAAGCCAAAACCCAGAAGTCCACCTGCAAGAATGCAGAGATGACATTGAATCAAACCTGATTCAGCGCACCCCATTCATAGGTACCAGTGGAACATCAATAACAGATGATCGATTTAGAATGATTCACTGCAAGTGACACATGATGCTTCAAGTTACTATTTATTATGTAGGCTAGTCTGTGTAAAATTCATAAACTGATGGTTCGTTTCCATTCATACGTTCTCCATAAAAAAAGGAAGAAATGATCTATAAGCCTTTGCCTTAACACCAAACAATAACTAGACCTCGAGATGAGGAAACGGCCAGTAATTTAACCTTCCAGTTTTACCCCTACGGTACCAAACAGCCTACTGATAAACGTGTTTCTGAATGGCTGGCTTCCACATGTGAGGAAGGAACCGGACACGGTTTCCTTCAGACTGGAGCTTTTTGCTGACAAAGCCATGAGGCAGCTTAGTGGGTAACGCCCACTTTTTGTGATGGAGTTCAATTTCAATTACAATTTTCAACAACTTTTTTGTGATGGCAGTTTTTTGTGATGGAGTTCAATTGTCAACTCCTTGTCACCACCACCTCCAGCTGGTCTTTACCCCACAGCACAGTTTATCAACAAACAGTTGCACATCTGTAACTGTTTGTGGGCTATTCTGTGATCTGGAAAACGAAATGGATTCAACTTAAAATACAAATATTAAGAAAAGTTTCTCCAGTCTCATCTTTTTCCCTTCGGAAAAAAATCACATCCATGATCTCGTATGAACCTCAAAATAACTGCATTAGCGTAACTGAGGAGGCAGAAAATTACAGCAAGAGTGGCCAAGAGGGCTGGGATCATCTTTAAGCAGCTCTGATGCTGAAGAAAATACTTTTGAGTGCACCTTGGGTTGAGTTAGACTGAGTTATCTTCTGAAGTCATAAGATCATTACTTTAGAGAGATAGAAGACAGACCAATTCAAAACTGGCAGTAAAGTTGCCTACACCAGGGAAGAAGTTGGCCGTGGCAGTGTCTTGTGCCAACTGAGGTATGCACCTTCAGTCAGCTGGGGGGACTATTCAAGATGTGGTGAGTATAGACTAAATTCAACCCTAATGGCAGAGAAGAAAGAAGGCGAGGGCTCCTCCACAAAAGTAAATAAATGCTAACCATCTTCTCTCCTAGACACATAAGATTTGAAAAAGATCATTTGAAACTTCTACATTTTATCTCAATGCTAAATGAAAGCTTAGAAAGGCAGATTAATCAGAGGGTAGGAGGGAAGAGCGACTCAGAACCAAAGTTATTTGAAAACAACAAAGGTCAAAGACATCATCAACCTGTGCTGCACAGACACCGAGCGTGGAGTCAGCAGGAAACGTCAGGGTACGGAAGCTGATCTCCAGTGCATCCAACCGCACATTTGTCAAGGAAACAATTGTTTAAACTCACCTGCTGGTCAGGCAAATAAATTGGAAAATGGAGAAGTGGAAAACAAAGTAATGAGTACGGCAAAACAACAGCATGATTTAGAAGGACTCTTATGTGAGAAGCATTACCCTTAACAATAACTTGTAGTGCTTCTGTAGAAGCACTACATGCTTGTTGTATATTTTTTCGGTTGAAATAAACTATTTTGTCAATGAGGTTCTAAATATATGCATTCTAGTCACAAATTATTGAAAGCTGTTGTCTTGATTAGTCAGATGTTAAACACCAACACACAGGACTCGGTTCTAGGATGAAACGGACCTACTGCAATTTTTTTCTGATTAAATTTACCACACCCCTCCATTTTATGCACAATCACTGAAAACATGTTACGGTGTGATATAGCCTGAGGAAGACACCTGACTGGGTTTGCTGAACTCCTATCCAATCTCATGCGTAATTAAAATGTAATTTGGTGTGTGAAAGGCTTAAACTCATCAACTTTAACTCTAATTTGCTACTTTCTTCTTAATAAACATTGAATCGTATTTTTGTTCTATTATAAGCATAAATGATTTAGTCCAATGGATAGTACATAAGTCCACATAACTGTAGATACATTTGTGTTTCAGGTGACAGGCAATCAGTATTAATCTCTCCATTGAGAAGGAAGTATAACTGGGTTATTTTCATAGTTCTTTATTTTGCAATTACATCTGAAACTCATAGAATTGGGTTTTAAAAGACAAATCTATTCAAGAATAAGATTATATTTATCACTACACATTTTCCAAAACTCTAGCTTTCTAAAAGTATTGATAACTTATTGATATGGTAATTAGGTATGGTTGTAGAGAAAGTATTTTTGTGTTTTGAATGCACTTTTTCTACATATCCATTTGTTTCCCATCACCCCTACGTTCCAACATTCAAAAACCAAAACTAAAGCACGTAGCTTTTTTTACTTTAAAGTGATCCTCAGTTCTTTTCCTTTGCATTTGAGAGATTCGAGAAAAATTGCAAAATACAAAAGGAAATGGCAGAGTATTACTGGGTGAGTGCATTTATTCAACTGGTTGTCAGATAGATGCATGCACTCGCTTCAAGTCTAAGGGCAATGAAATGGGCTGGGTTACCATATGGCAAGGCATAAAATCTCATACGGGGAACTGTGGGAACACTGGAGTCTTGACAGTGTCTGCAATAACCTTTCTGTGTTCAATGAAAGTCAATTAGAAATCATAACTTCATTCATCATGATCTCTCAAACACAGAAAATCCTAAGTAAAGACTGAAGAATAGCTTTCAGTAAAAGATCACCTTAATCTGAATGAGTCAAGATAATGAAATTCTCATCTACAAAAATTAGTAGGTTGGGGGGGGTGTGGTGTTTCCACTGCTGTGGAAATCCAATTTTTGTTACAGCCTATCCTCTAACTCCCAGCCTCTCAATACCTGAGCAGAGTACAAAATTGCTATAATCAAAAAGCCTGACTTGAATTGAATCACCATACCTGCATTTTTAAAGCTATTTATGTCTCCAAATGTCCTGTGATTTTACTTTTCACACCACATATCTCCCACAAAATTGGGGATGGGGGTGAGGAATATAAGATTCTTCTCTTTCTGGTTACTCACTTTAGAGCAGCCAGATAAAAACCAGGAAAAGTAAAAAAAGTTAAATATTATTGTTCCCTGAAAATGTTTTTATCCCTTAGATTAAATCTTCATTAAAGCTAATCTTCAAATTAAAGCTAATAAGCAATCTTAACATCCTTATTTTACAATTTATTATGTTACTGGTATTGATATGAAACATTAACACCTAAAAGTGAGAGGGCAACCCTCTTCTCATTAAATAGTCCATATGTGGACTTTTTTTAACCTTTTTGAATCTAGATTTAGATCTAATCAGGAGATATTGTCTCCTGCTGGTGAAGGACTTGACATACGGTTACATGGCTATGCAGTTGACCTTATGATGCGCTCCTCCTAACGCAGAAATATTGAGTGCAACCTTGACACATTAGGATGCAATTAAACATTTTAGTTTGGGTGGTATCAAAGCCAACCTAGGAGGTTCTCCTACTTCACAATAGTCAGTTGCTGGTGGCTGTCCTCATGCTACACACTTCATTGTGTAACAACACTTGTAGGTAATGGAGTTAGTGAATGAAGTGTGTATAAGGCATTCAATTTTAAAATTCAAAACATTCCTGTGATCTGCTTGGTCTCGGTAACAGCTGCATTAACATAAACTGAGAAGTGTCAGACTACAATACATGAATGGGAATAGGAGCCTAGGAAGGGGATCAGGTTTTAAACTTGCTTTTACCCTGGAGAATCATCTAACATTAAATGACATCCCTCGTGCATTAAGCCCATTCAGACAGTAGCACTTGAGACCAATTATGAGCTGGGAACAGAAAGCTGTGAAACAGCATTTCATTACCTTGTTATAACTAACTACATAAGTGCAGCTCTCTAACCTGCCTCTCACCTATGTAATTCCAGACTGGATCCTAGATCCACTCACTTCATATTGGTACCACAAAAAAGTCAAGCTGAGTACTAATGACCAGGGCTACCTCACACTGCTGCTGTGTCTGAAACACGAGTGCTCAGGATGGCTCATATTGCTCTGTTGTGATTGTAAAGGCACGTTCTTTCAACTGTTTAGAGTGAATCTGGTGGATCATTGACTGCCTTTGACACAACTAGCATTGCTGGCATTGCTGGTATCTAAGTATTCCAGTCCAGGGACTACATAATCTGCTCCTAAATGATAACTCTTCTCTCAGAGGTTTTGGAAGGCAGTTTTGACTACACGTTCTTGACTACATGCTTCCTATCTAGAGAAATCAAAAGGTTTCTTCACTGTAAGAAATCTTATGGAGAGGCTGGAGAGTCTACTCACTAAATCCTTGAAAGGCAAGTCATACATTAGAAAACGGAATGCTGTTTCCAATTTAAATTATTGGCCTGTCTGCATAATTATTACAGAGATTAAAAGAAAACTCTTATAACTTCAAAGTTGCAATGGAAAATATAGAAACTCACATCTTCATGCAAATTCCACAAAACCACTGAAGACAGCTAATTTTTGTGATGTGAAATGAAACTGTTGTATAGAACTAATTCTCGTTTTTAACTGCAGAATTTATAACTATATACCAGTGTGTACCTGTTCTAGACATGGCAATGTGATGTTCATATGTGAGACAAAACAGAATGTTGGATTTCTTTTCATATGCAAACTTTTAACATTCGTTTTTTAACATATCACAGAGCTCAGAATAGAGAAAGAGAGGAAAAACAAAAAAAAAAAAAAAAAAGAGAAAATTAACCTTACCTTTCTCCTTGTTTCCCACCACTTTTAGGATTGACAAAAACTAAAAGTGGATGAGTGCCTGGAACTGGAGTGATCTAAAAGAAGGGAATAACACAGCCACTCATTAATGCTGTGTGTTGCATTCATTTTTTCCTATAGTAGACAGAAAACAAAAAGCTTAATGCAAACTCTATGTTATGCTATGTAATCCAGCTGGAAGCAATTCCATAATTTGCAATAATCCTCACTTCATTAATTTGCCACAAATTGCAAGTGATTTTTTTTTTAAACGCTAGCTGTCTGTCTGACAGCTGCAATGCCATTTTAACCTAAAATTCCATTGAAATATTGATATATATAGGTTACATCCATCAATAGAGAAGAAAACTTTAAATGCAAGAAATGCATGACTGATTCTGACAGTAATTTCCTATGGAAAAAGCTATGAAGAAACTGTATTTTCTAGTAAGAAATGACACTACACTATTATGGTCAAATATAGCTATATGAAATTCTACACTTGATGGAATAATTCTTTAATTTTTTTTTTTTAATGACAGAAAACTGCAATATTTGATCTGATATGAAATCATATGAAATCACACTTCTTAAAATGTAAGAAAGAACACAATAATTAGTTCCTTTAAACATCTTAGAAAGCCAGAAAAATTTAAAAAGTGGAAGAAGGACAAGCCTGAGGAAAAGAATGGAGAGAAGGATATAGTGGAGGAACCAGTGACTTCTGCCATGTGCTTTAATTCTTTTTTGCATGGAATGTTTATTAAGTTCACATTAATGTTTAGCTTTTCAAACTAACACCTTCCTTCAAAGTATTATTAGTCTTAGTAGTATTAGTCTGCATTTTCAGATCGTTTAAGATATGAGCTTTTCAAACTAACACCTTCCTTCAAAGTGGTAGTATTAGTCTGCATTTTCAGATTGTTTTAAGATGTAAGTGTTCACTGCCTTTGCTCTCTAGACTTGAAGAACAAAAAAAAAATTAGATCTGCATAGATCAGACAATGTGCCTCTAATATCTGTTTTTAAACCATAAAGCTAGACTATTCATATTTAAAATTATCACTTTTAGACATTTATCAATTCTAGAATGTTTAAAACTATATTAAGAGTTCAAAATCAATATCTCCAAAGTCGTGCTCTAACAACTAGAGATGAAGCTTAGACTGTCTGTTTCAAAATGATACATTGAAAGCTCTTGTTCCAAATCCTTATTCATAACTCCTGAAATAACAAAATCTTTTCAGCTGAAGATTTCATAAAATGTAATTTCATAAATGTGAGGCAGAACTCGAGAAACACAAGAGCTAAAGAGTCTTACAGGCATCCTATAGACAGGTATATAATCCCATAGGAATCCAAAAGCACTTCTAGTAGGAAGCGTTAAGCGCTAGTGTGTCAACTCCATCCATAACTTCACAAACAACAGATCCAAATCCGTTCCAATATACACAACAAATAATGAAAAACTCCAGCAAAGTTTCACTGGAATTAAGCCCAGCATAAAACCAACCCAGTATCACAGTCTGGCACGGTACGTGGTTATAGTACAGTGCTGTGTGTTGAAACATATATCAAATGGCAGGATGTAGTGAAGTTTGTCATATATTTAATTTTTATCTACTGTTTTAATCAATTTTAGTTATTTAGCCAATTCCCATGATGTTTGTTCCTGTGAACTAAGTGTAAACCAATGGTGCTCATTGTGACAGAGATGGACTACCTACTGAACTCCCTTAGGACGCAGGTTAATTAATGAGACTCATCCTAAGGTTATACATGATCTATTACTTCCTCTAATTAGAAATAATAATCCTGATCATTATGCTGGTTAGCTACAAAGAAGTAAGATGAATGTGCTTAACTATGATTAATTGTCTTTAAGTCGTGCAGATCTCCACTGCCACTACGTTATCCGCACAATGCTGTCTGATGGAAGGAAGGTTGGGTCTTGATACTTTCCGCAACAAAAGCTAAATTATGAACTTTTTTTTCTATTTTAAATCTTTTATTTCAAAACTTAACCATATTATTACAAGTAGTAGGTTTAGGACCATCAAAAAAATCTAACAACCAGTTTGTATTACTTCCAATTGAAAAATAAGGCCTCTTTCAATGAATTTCATCTAACAACCAGTTTGTATTACTTCCAATTCAAAAATAAGGGCTCTTTCAATGAATTTACAGCTTTTCCAAATTACTTTTCTAGATAATGCAGAACTTTCCATATGATAAACAATACAACTGAAGATTTAAACTAAATTGGTGAACATTTTCAAGTATTAATCTAGCATAACTTAAAGGCAATCTCCACAAAGTTATTGGACAAGTGACTTAAAAAAAAAACACCAACAAAACCACAAAAAAGGTGGTGGATCAACTATATAAAGCTTCTCCCATACTGAAAACAGAGGTCTAAAAGAAGTAGTATGAAGATTTGCTGGATATCTTTGATATATCTTGGGAACTTAAATCATAAACCAATGCAATTAACGTAATGATCAAGTTTTTTGAATAGAAAAAGTTTCCAAAAAGAAGTCACAAAAATTCTTTTTCTGTTCAGTGAAGATCATGTTAAAAGGACACCATGCCAGCAAAATTAGAGTATTAGAATCAGAGTAGCACGTTTGGGCTAGATATGGGAGGATTAGAGTAGCATACTGAAAACAGAGGTCTAAAAGAAGTAGCATGAAGACTTGTTGGATGTCTTTGATATATTATGTTGGGAACTTAAATCATAAACCAATGCAATTAACGTAATGATCAAGTTTTTTGAATAAAAATAGTTTCCAAAAAGAAGTCACAAAAATTCTTTTTCTGTTCAGTGAAGATCATGTTAAAAGGACACCATGCCAGCAAAATTAGAGTATTAGAATCAGAGTAGCACGTTTGGGCTAGATATGGAAGAATCAGAGTAGTACACTTTAATCAGCTACAGAAATTTTTTGCTCCAGACCATCTTTTGGCAAAATACTAATATTAATTACCAGTTATATTAATGGAAACTTACATCTTTGTGGAAATAGTTCCAAAATTGTACAATCTGTGAGTGAAAAAACCACTAATAATCTCACTCTCTCTACCAGCCTTTCACCGTGGTATCCTTTGAGGTCCACTCAGCCTTCACAATGATCAGGTTATAGTTACTGATGCGGATCAAAAATTTAATAGTTGGTGCTAAGATGGATTCCTGTTACTTGAAACCAATTTTATCCAACAGAGAAAAACAAAAACCACAGCATAAGCAGCAAATTAGGGTCAACACTGCAGCATTATTTCTAACGTTATCACTATGATTACCAGTATTACATTGTGCACTATGGTATAGATGTGGCATTACAGAACAGTAAGCACTTCAGAAAACGCAATTCCAGTCAATAATTATTCTACCATCTTAAAACTCACTCCTTCTTCCCTTCTCAAGCAATAATAAATGAAAGTAATGATGAATCCCTAGGCTTTGGATCCATCATGGAAAGAGAAGATAGAACATAAGTTTTGGATCATACTAACAAACTTATAGAAAAATTTATGTCCTAATTATCTGAAACTAGAAATATTAATAATTTAAAGTTGTATGTGAAAGAGTCAGTGGTGTCAGGAGTTTGCTATTTTGAACAGATCGGGCACTGTATCCCATGAGTGGGAAATAGGAACTTGAAAAATACCTGAAAATATACTATAAGCATAAAAAATCTAATGCTTGGGGTAAAATCAAAATTCATAATAATAAGTGGTGCTGCTACTAAAAGGAGATGCAAAAGATGGTCCTTCATCTAGACCAGTTGAACTCACTGGAATTGCACGGATATCACCCAAAAGTTAGAAAGCCCTGTGTGCTTCCTTTAGCATGGTTTTATTAGTCACACTGTGATAGATTAGACAGAACTTGAGTTTTCTGTCTTGATTACTCTGGCTTTTTTGTTTCGTGCTCTGGCACAGCTGATCTGGATAGCAATGCAGCCTTTGAGGATGGTAAGTGCAGGAAGAGAGCCTTGAAAGCCATGGATAATGATCACTGTAATATCGTACTACACCATCAATGAAGCAGCCACGTGACTGCATAGGTTTAAAGGTTGTTTTTTTTTTCCCTTTTCACTGAGTTGTCATAACAAGAAGGTTTCACTAACCTAAACAGATGAAACAATAAAATAAGCCTTTCTATTCTGACACAATAAAGTATATAATGAAATAATTATGAGCTATACAGCATTTGATATATGATAACAGAATCTTTTACGTTTTACTGAGCTCAATTGCAACACATCAAAGGATGCAGAGAACAGTCAACTACGTATATTAAATGATTATCACATTGTTATCATGATAATCGTTTAACTCCTGAGGAAATAAAGCAGCAGTATCATATATGTGAACATTGATTTTACTCAAAACTACTCATATCTCAAGGGAAAGAAGTCAAGCAGTTCAGGAAGAACTTCTGGCGCACCTCTAAGTGACCTCCCTAAAATAACATTAGCTCAGCACACATGAAAGTTTTTCTTTCAAGTAGAAAAAACTTCCATTTTTATTCTAGATATGGCTATTATGGAAATCACCTTACTTCAATCTTAATTTTGATGTGCCACATAACCTGCTTGGAAATACCTGGAAAATAACATCCTTGACGTTTACTCCATCTTTCTGTTAATTAACAGGTCCAAACAAAGAGTTATTATAACATCCTTGACGTTTACTCCATCTTTCTGTTAATTAATAGGTCCAGACAGTTATCAAGACATGTAAATTCACACAATGGTGCATGACAGATACTAAAACAATTGAGTTCAACTTCACCCCGCAATGTAAGTGTTATGGAGCTAGTTTTCCCTCCCTCTTAATATCTTGGGAAATCCTACCAATCACACAATAAGCAGATTTGCACCGCAGGATTCCTGAACAGATGGAAGAATTTACCTATTTTTGGATAAGTAAAAGTGAATTAGAAGAGTGAACGTATAGGAAGATTTGCACCGCAGGATTCCTGAACAGATGGACGAATTTACCTATTTTTGAATAAGTAAAAGTGAAATATTAGAAGAGTGAACATATAGGAACTTTCTAACGTTATCACTATGATTACCAGTATTACATTGTGCACTATGGTATAGATGTGGCATTACAGAACAGTAAGCACTTCAGAAAACGCAATTCCAGTCAATAATTATTCTACCATCTTAAAACTCACTCCTTCTTCCCTTCTCAAGCAATAATAAATGAAAGTAATGATGAATCCCTAGGCTTTGGATCCATCATGGAAAGAGAAGATAGAACATAAGTTTTGGATCATACTAACAAACTTATAGAAAAATTTATGTCCTAATTATCTGAAACTAGAAATATTAATAATTTAAAGTTGTATGTGAAAGAGTCAGTGGTGTCAGGAGTTTGCTATTTTGAACAGATCGGGCACTGTATCCCATGAGTGGGAAATAGGAACTTGAAAAATACCTGAAAATATACTATAAGCATAAAAAATCTAATGCTTGGGGTAAAATCAAAATTCATAATAATAAGTGGTGCTGCTACTAAAAGGAGATGCAAAAGATGGTCCTTCATCTAGACCAGTTGAACTCACTGGAATTGCACGGATATCACCCAAAAGTTAGAAAGCCCTGTGTGCTTCCTTTAGCATGGTTTTATTAGTCACACTGTGATAGATTAGACAGAACTTGAGTTTTCTGTCTTGATTACTCTGGCTTTTTTGTTTCGTGCTCTGGCACAGCTGATCTGGATAGCAATGCAGCCTTTGAGGATGGTAAGTGCAGGAAGAGAGCCTTGAAAGCCATGGATAATGATCACTGTAATATCGTACTACACCATCAATGAAGCAGCCACGTGACTGCATAGGTTTAAAGGTTGTTTTTTTTTTCCCTTTTCACTGAGTTGTCATAACAAGAAGGTTTCACTAACCTAAACAGATGAAACAATAAAATAAGCCTTTCTATTCTGACACAATAAAGTATATAATGAAATAATTATGAGCTATACAGCATTTGATATATGATAACAGAATCTTTTACGTTTTACTGAGCTCAATTGCAACACATCAAAGGATGCAGAGAACAGTCAACTACGTATATTAAATGATTATCACATTGTTATCATGATAATCGTTTAACTCCTGAGGAAATAAAGCAGCAGTATCATATATGTGAACATTGATTTTACTCAAAACTACTCATATCTCAAGGGAAAGAAGTCAAGCAGTTCAGGAAGAACTTCTGGCGCACCTCTAAGTGACCTCCCTAAAATAACATTAGCTCAGCACACATGAAAGTTTTTCTTTCAAGTAGAAAAAACTTCCATTTTTATTCTAGATATGGCTATTATGGAAATCACCTTACTTCAATCTTAATTTTGATGTGCCACATAACCTGCTTGGAAATACCTGGAAAATAACATCCTTGACGTTTACTCCATCTTTCTGTTAATTAATAGGTCCAGACAGTTATCAAGACATGTAAATTCACACAATGGTGCATGACAGATACTAAAACAATTGAGTTCAACTGTTATGGAGCTAGTTTTCCCTCCCTCTTAATATCTTGGGAAATCCTACCAATCACACAATAAGCAGATTTGCACCGCAGGATTCCTGAACAGATGGACGAATTTACCTATTTTTGAATAAGTAAAAGTGAAATATTAGAAGAGTGAACATATAGGAACTATTCCACTGTAAAGATTGCTCGTTCTATCATTGTCTTCATACCTGCAGTTATCTCCTTAAAATTAAAATAACAATAATCACACCTGAAGACCTTGTCCATCCACAGTGACGGAATTTGCTCTTTGCATTTTGTTCCGTTCTCCCAGTTTGTTCATTTGCTGGGGACAACTCTTTTCTTTTTTCACTGTTGCCTGTCTTTCCTTGAGAACAGAAGAGAAAAGGAGAAAATGGAATATTTTAACACATGATATAATGGTATGAGACTGTAACTGAGACTCTGCCTCCACAAAGTTGTTTTTTGAGTATAGAATAATGTCAGATTCTGCTTTAATGAAAACGAGATCTCAGTCAAGTTATTACACAATGTCCCGCCACTTCACATAACATCTATCTATGTGCCTGGACATTCCACAATGACTAGGCAATAGATGGATGGAAACTGTGCAGTCACAACACAAATTAATGCAATGATGTGAAAAGATAATCTGCCATTGCCAGGATGGCATTCTGAAACTTGAAAGCAAATCATACAAAATACTTGATCGTTTAATAAGCACATTGATAAGAGATCAGTGATTTATCAAAATGGCATCCCAACTGCTAGCAAAGGTTGGATGCTTCAAGAGTACTTAACCACTTTGGCAAAATATACCTGCCCTAAATGGACCATAATCAATTGGCTGAGTGGCTTTTTATAAAATATGTATTTTGTATCAGAAAAAAACAAAACAGAATCTACATCAGATTCTAAGCCATTGGCAACTATTGATGCTGAGACACAGCAAAATCAGATGGTTATTTGAAAGAGAAAAGCCCAGAAGTATGTTGCTGTAATCATATTTTCAACTGTTGTCAGGTCATTTCAGAGAACTCTGGAAAAAAAAAATAAAAATCCTTGCTCTTTGTATCTCATTTATCCTATTTATTAACTGCACCCAGCATGTCCTTTTAGGTTGTCTATAAGCACACCAGAAATTAAGGTGCCGATGTTTACCAAATAGAACCAGTGTCCCCAATCCCAACTGCACTCCGGTCATTTCCCGCACTCCACAAGTGCAAGGAGGCTTTAAACTGGTCAGAGAAACGGGCTGCAAGAAAAAAGAGCATGAAGGACACTGTAGCACCCCCTGCAACCGCACTCAGTAAGAAGCTCATTAAATGTCACCATTTATGTCCCATTCCAGGCCAAGCCCTAGGGATGGCATCAGCAATTAATCCTCACCGCTCTTTCTGCAGCGGTTTAAACTGTGCCCTAGGGATGGCATCAGCAATTAATCCTCGCCGCTCTTTCTGCAAAGAAACATTCACATAGATTCTCTGGTAGGAAAGGAATAACTCTCAGTTTAATTCAGTGCCTGCTAACACAGATGTGGACCATCACTGGTTTTATACCATCTTCAGTGTCCTTAAATTTGAAGACTGACAGAGTCTCAACCTAGCCCTGATGCAAACAGTAGCCCAAGTCATCCTGGGCTGCTATGGGTTGCAAAGTGCTTGGGGAACTGTGGCAATCTGATCCCATTGCTTATAAAAGGACTGTCAAACCAATGTCACAGGAAAAAAATAAATAATAAAGGGGGGAATCTACACTATTTCCCATATGCAGTGAGATTCCTAAGAGCTCTTGGATGCTTTGAGTAACTTGATCAGTCCAAGAGGAGGTCCAAGAGTCCAGACTACAGCATCATTGCTTTAAACAGAAAACAGTAAAAGCAATTAGAGCTATTCACTTCAGCCTCAACCTTCAAAACACAAACACTCTCCATATCAGTGCCTAAGAAATTACTGACTCTGCACTTCATTATTTGACGAAATTTTAGAAACTAGAAGTACTAGAAACTAGTACCCAAACAGAGTAATGTTTGTGAACTACCACAAAACATCAATGCACCACGGTATTTGTTAGTGCCAAGGACAGAGAGTAAGAAACTTTAATATAAAGGATGCTTCACGCTTCACTACATATATAAGAAGCAGTTTTGGGGTTTAAAACAATTTTGCTAATAACTATCCTTGAAAAACACTACGTTTTATAAAAAGCAAGCATACCACGTTAAACAGGATTTTATATCAGAGCCAAATCTGCCTCTTGGATAAAGCAAAATCTTAAAAAATTAGACTGTCAGTAATGCAGACACACAGCTCATAAAAAACCCCGATTTCTAACAAAAATCAGAGATGGAGAGCAAATTCTAAAAAGTATAGAAAAATGTTAAGCTAAACAACATATTTGTGATAGTTCAAAGAAAAAGGTAACAGAAAGGAGCAGATCCAGTACACCAAGTATGTGCTTTTAGAGAGGTTAAATAACCACTGTTCAAAAGAGGTCTAACTTATGAAGTGTGGCACTAAAAATCTTCTTGTGTATATCATGCTATTACTTAGAGGAAAAGTATTTATACACTGCTGAGAATTGTCTTTACATAAAGGATGTTTACTACAGTACCCAAACCTGCTGTTATCAATCCCTTAACAAGCAAAATGCTGTAACAATTACCTCAAGCAAAGTTTTGGATATTTTTTTGTTGTTGTTGGTCCAACACGATAGAGACACAGCAGCAAATACCCTCAGCTGACCCCAGCCCCGTGACTGCTGCACTAGCAACATCTCCTTTCCAATTTATATTACCTGTCCCATAAGCAAAACAATTGCTTGACTCACGGACAAAAACAGCTCCTCCTGAGCAGTGACTACACAAGGTTAGGACATGCACCTCATACAATATAAAGGAAAAAGTATATTCATGACTCAGAGTTGTCTAGACATCTATTAAAAAAATCAAATATGGACACCTGACTTCATTATAATTGAAGGTCTGCTTCCTTCAATGGTGATTTTTGAAGGAAGTATAAAGTATTTCGTGGCACACATCTTATATACATTCAATACATGTCACTACAGGTACCAATAGCACTCTCTGAAACATTTCTGAAGCTGATAGGAGATTCTAGATTTCCTAGAGTTATATGTCTTATAATTTCTAGATACTTGTCATACTAGCGAGGATCTAACTTACAGTTCGTATGAAATAATATAATGATGTGTATCTTAATTCTACTGACTAAATCTATTAATGAAATATGAAAAAACCGCTTTAAAATTCTTAAAAAAACCTCTTTAAAATGTTCTTGCACAGATACTTTGTTTTATATATGAAATAAAACACTGGCTTTCTAATCCAGTTGTACATGGCTGTTTGAATACCTTTCTTTCAGGAACTCTAACATTACTATGCTATCCGAGAGTGCCAGGAACTAAACAGTGTAATTTTTTAATGAGATAATAACAGTTTAATAAAATCACCTGTGGATAATAGCCTACAAATTCCAACAGTATTAAGTCAAATTTGACATGCATTGAATAAATGGTTTTACAAAATGCAAAACTTTATTTTTCAAGGTAAGAAACGTTTCTGCAACAGTTGTGCCGCATTTAATATCTTGTAACTTAAAGCATACAAAATGATAAACGTATCTATGAACCATTTTGTTTAGTGGACATGCATGAGGTTGAAGAGTTGCTGAATACAGCATTTTAAAAAGCTATTGTACATTTTGATGGCTCAAAGAATCAAGCTTTTCTGTTCTTTTGGTATGTGCCAGAGTACATACCTTTCAAAATTGTACTTACCACAACAAACGGTTTTTTCCACCCATTTTTTCATCTCTCATACCTTTTTTTTCTCCCCTTGAATCCCCACTTTGAAGCTAATATCCATTAACTGGAGCTTCTACCATTCAGTGATGCTCCAGAGATCATTGTCAGATAAGAACTATTCAATTATCTCTCCCTTATCCATCCAAATAAGAAAAAAGAATTTATAAATAAGACAAGACCTTTCCAATGACAACACAAAATACCACACCTAGATTATTTTTTTAGTTCAGCCCCAAAATGCACTTTTATAGCAGCAAGAATGTACAGGATCATGATCGGTTAGTACTCGTGCGCACATGGATGCCTCCCGTTACGCACCTCAGGGAGCAAACCTCCTAAAGTGGGTAGCGTCTGTTGGAAAAAGACAACGTTAGGCTGGGACACGGAACAGCTGGGATGGTGAGGGGCACGGAGAGAGCCCTCACAAGGAACCATACCTTGCAGCAGTTGCCCTTAACAACAACCATACACAGCGCTTTTTTTTTTTTTTAACACATTTGCACAACCGTACTCCCTCAACTTTTTGGTTGTCATATTCTATAATTTATATTCTGGGATCATTTTATCACCAGCTACAAAAATTGAAAACCTGAGGACTATATTCTTTTGAATAGTAAAAAGAGCTACCTGGTACCTGGGGAGTACTTTTTTTTATTTTATCTTCCAAGCCTTTGACTCCTCATCCAAAGCAAGGAATCTTATTTAAAAAGCTTTCTTCTACTGCAATTGACAAAGCTATACAACATTCATTCTCAAAAAGCATTTCTCCTCTTTCTTTATACAGAGGTACAGTCTTTTCCTTTACACAAAACACTGATATTTAGAAATATCATATTGTATCACAGCTATTATAAAAAAAGCAGATTAGGTAACAGCTTACTAAATAGTTACCTCTTTGCATTTTAACTGCTAACACAGAATCCAATGCCAATGCAGCAAAAGTTGGTTTTTCCCACCTTGTCTCTTAATCAATAAGTGTAAATCTATTTTTCTGGATTATTTCTTACATAGCTGAGATTATTTAAATCAATTTATTTTATACATTAACCACCATTTTACTTATCCATTAAATGTGATCATAAATCCATTAGTCAATAGTTAATACCATTACAGTTTTTCAAGTAACTACAGAAAACTTGAGATTCCTTCTGTATGATAATTACTTCTTTTATACCAGATGAGAGATATACCCAAAGACCCAACTTGGGGATGCTCTTTGCATTTTAACTGCTAACACAGAATCTAATGCCAATGCAGCAAAAGTTGTTTTTTCCCCACCTTGTCTCTTCTCTTTGCATTTTAACTGCTAACACAGAATCCAATGCCAATGCAGCAAAAGTTGGTTTTTCCCACCTTGTCTCTTAATCAATAAGTGTAAATCTATTTTTCTGGATTATTTCTTACATAGCTGAGATTATTTAAATCAATTTATTTTATACATTAACCACCATTTTACTTATCCATTAAATGTGATCATAAATCCATTAGTCAATAGTTAATACCATTACAGTTTTTCAAGTAACTACAGAAAACTTGAGATTCCTTCTGTATGATAATTACTTCTTTTATACCAGATGAGAGATATACCCAAAGACCCAACTTGGGGATGGGAGTGCATAAGGAGAGAACCAAATTCTATGTTAATACGCATAAACTGAAAGAGTAATAAAAAAATATCTTATTTTAGAACTCTGAAACTTGAAAGGCATTGATCAGGGGAATCTGTTCACTTAATAAGTGTAAATCTATTTTTCTGGATTATTTCTTACATAGCTGAGATTATTTAAATCAATTTATTTTATACATTAACCACCATTTTACTTATTCATTAAATGTGATTGCAAATCCATTAATGAATAGTTAATACAATTACAGTTTTTCAAGTAACTACAGAAAACTTGAGATTCCTTCTGTATGATAATTACTTCTTTTATACCAGATGAGAGATATACCCAAAGACCCAACTTGGGGATGTGAGTGCATAAGGAGAGAACCAAATTCTACGTTAATACCCATAAACTGAAAGAGTTATAAAAAATATCTTATTTTAGAACTCTAAAAGGCATTGATCAGGGGAATCTGTTCATGGAAGATCAGATGGAATGCGTGGAGTATCGTGTAAAGGTATCCTCAAATGCTTGCAGAATGGAGGCCACGTGAATACTAAACTGATGCTTTGTGGTTTTTTCAGGAACTTGGAGGAAGGTTGCTCCATGATCCCCAAGAGCTATTTTGTTTAATGACATGGGATCTCCAAGGGATGCAAAACCTGTACGTTAATATGCAATGAAATATTAGAATAGGTACTCCTAGACTGTCATTTTGTAAACTTTGCTTACAAAAGTTCCATTCCATGCAATTTCTGTCCAGAGTTACACAATAAGCAAAGAGAATCAAAGATTCAGACACTCTGAAAGCTGCAAAAAAGCCACCTTCACTACCCCAAAACCTGGAGAGCAATCTAGTGTAATATCTAGTAGACATCACATCCAACTAACTACGATTTAGATGTGCTAAAGTATTTTGAGAATTTACTTTATAAAATCTTCTCCACAGTTCCAGCTCTTACCCTGTCTACATACTAATGAGAAGGGCCAATATTTGGATATCACATTATGCTGCCTCAAAAGTTCATAATGCTGTAGCACAATACCCAGCTCTGCATCCACAGGCTGAAAGTAAAAGTCATCCTGTGAACAAGGTTAGCAACCAATTCACTAGCAAAAATACTGTCCAGTGAGCTGCACATGCCCATACTACAAAGGAAAGGTATGGCTTCCAACTTAACTCAGACTGTCTTGATAGAAACATTTCCAGAAAAACAAACAAACAAACAAAAAAAAAACCACAAACCAACAAACCAAAAAACCACCTAAACCCCAAAAAACTACCCCTCGCATCATTATGTCAATCAGAAGGAGATATTTTGTCACCCACATTACTAGTAGCCAAAATATGTGAAAAAAAGACAAGGCTGGAATAGAAATTATATTCTTCAAAACAGCCAACCAAAAGACCGTTGTGAACAAGGCATCGCTACATGGTAACTTTGTATATATACTTTGTGTTGATAGTTTAATATGTCTTACTAAAGATGAAAATCACAGTCCAGAATTTCTCATTTAGCATCTTGGCCTTAGTTCATTTAGGTGGCTGACTATAATTTGCCTTACATCTTGCACCCATTCAATATATGCATGAACGTGCACCAAGTGTAGGGCCCAAGACCTTCAATTTAATTCGCAACCTAAAATTAACTTGGACTATAGTTGGCAATTATATACGTCGTCCAGAAAGACACAAGAGTTGGGAAAGAATTTTGAAAATAGAAACATATTAAACTACAATGGGAGAGGATGTAAGAAATAAACTTAGGGACAGACAGCAGTGATGAGCTGTGGGCAGGCAACTAGATATAACTTAAAATGATTGAACGGCTGCCATTTCAGTTTATCAGCATCTTATTATTTTAACATTGAACTGTGTTTGCCGAACAGATAATTAGTTAGGAAGATACATTTTCCTCCGGGGCAATTATTAATTTCCTTCTGACTTCAAAGAAATGAAAAAGCTCTTAGTGTAGATAAGCACACCATTATATTTCAAGTCTGGTTTAGATTCTTAGAGAACTGAATCTGCAATATGATAGACAATTGAAAAGGAAAAAAGTGTTTTGTTTTTTTTGAATCTGTTTGAATTGCTATGTCATTACCTAATATTCAACAACCAGATTTAAATTTGCTTCCCCATAGAAGAATAGATATATCAAATAACTGGGGTTTTTCATAGTATCTTTGTTCAGAAATTCAGAATAAGGCTATACTCAGCTTCAAAGGACTGAGTTGCTCATAAAGATGCTTATACAGTGCACTGACTTTCTGCACTTGGTGTTGAGCTTGGAGTCAACTGAGTTACAACTGATCTCTACTATAATAAAAAGAGAAGAATCATTTTAGGATTAAAAACCGGAAAAGAGATTAGAAAGCTCATTCTTCAACCAGCAACTGCTAATTCCCTTTTCCTTTCTCTACATCTCTGCTTTCCTATGTGAGTTACGTTTACCTGCCTCACAGGAAAACAGTATTAGTGAAACAGACATGGAAAACTAGACATTATCAGACATGGAAAAATATCTATTGAACTATGCTTCAATTATAACACAGCCATTAGCTATTTTATCTAGTCTGATATACTGACAGCCAAAGAAAATTATTGTAGAATATTTTCAACTTTGTATTACTTTTTGCCAGGATCTCAACACACTTGCTATATTTACACAAAAGTTTGATGCTACATCTCATAATATATATTTTTTTAGCTTCACAAGACACATTGCTTAGCAAAAACATTTGTAATCTGCTGTGTGTATACTGTTTTACATGCCTAAATAGGACTTGCTTTAAAGAAGACTTTTGAACATTTATGCTCTTGTATAGTAAAATGCCAAACCAACTCAAAAACAACCCAAATGAGATACATCTGTTTCCTCCACCAAAATAAACAGCTGTTTGTATTTTAAAATGAGGTCAAGTGTATACAACTTATGATCGTATTTTATATGTATATAAACATCTTTATGATGCATAAAAACTCTCTATACATTTTATATAAAAAACTGTATATTATATATTTATATGAAGAGAACTTATGCTCAAATGATTTTTTCCTAAAAAGTTACAAAAATCTTCACTAGACAAAAAAAGAGAAAATTTCATCCGTTAAGAGAAAAGAAACAAAAAGTGAGTTGTTCCAAACTTTTTATGAAGAGGACCAGAATTCTGAACAATGAAGCTGAAAACTGACCACAAGGAAACATCCAACTTTTAATTTTATTTCCACTACTATTTGTCTTCAATATTACACCAGACCCTCCCCCTTTAAAATAAACTGGTTACTATGGAGACAGTGATAACTGCCATGTAGTAACACTCACATTGTAATCAGACTACCTTCTGTTTTACAATTTATTTTATAATTTTCTTTTTATCCCATAATCAGCAGTTTTAATGATAGCTTTAAAGACCAATGTTAGATATTAAGTAAAAAAATAATTCATTGTAAAACTCTTACAAACAATAGGAGACTCAAAATCATCATACATTATGAAATAAGTAAATACTTATTAAATAGTAGGCTTTCATTGGTTGATATGTCATTATCCAAGGCTACATCTATTTTGGTGGGAAACAGAAAAATCTAATTACTTTTCTACAAACTTAAATACAAATTAGAAGATCCTATGTGTCCATCAATAAATGGAGCAAAGTAAAGGAAGGCATGAAATGAAGAAGCCAAAATGTACATTTGTGTTTTTCCCTTTCTGCCTTATAGAGGGGTGGGGGTGAGAAGCTCCACCAGAAGCAGAGACCAATCTCTTTTCTTCACTACTCACTCATTTCATTCCAATACCCAGGTTTTAACCTGGTTATGATCTAATTCTGTACTCTTGGTAGGCTAGGATTCAATTGAGTTAAAGATTTTTAAACTCACTGCCAGTCAACCTTATCATGAACTTTCATTATGTGCATGTAATTAATTGGGTCCAATGAACAATATCAGCACTGAGTTATAGACTTTTTTCCCCCCACCATATAATTAGGATATAATTACCCACAGGATATCAGAATGATGCAAAACCTTTCCTCTAAATGTGCCCTCATTAGGAAACAAGTCTCAATGTACATTTATTCAATCAGTATGAATTAATTAAAACGTTACCGAAATAAAAGAGAGTAACATTAAAGTGTATCTGACATCTATTAAAAGACTATCACTTGAGATCTGCACACACAGTTTATAACAAAACTCATTTAACTTGAACAAAAAACTTCAACCTACAACAAGCCCTATATACCATAAACAGAAAAGTAAAAAGAAATAGTTTTAAAGCTGACAGAATACATTTGACTAAAACATTCAAAAGTATTGCAGTGAGATGAGAGAAACCTTTATATAATGTTGAAACTAGACAGTTACGTAATTCTTTTGTGATACAGAGAGTATCAACTGTACGAGTTTCCCCATAGTTTTTTTTTCAGCTGAGAATGTAGGTTATCATATTTAGGAATAAGATTTGGCAAGTTCCATTTTGTGCAGTTTTGAAGATGGGAGTCCTCTTATTTCCCTTAGATCATCAGATGACCAGGTATTTAGGTTTTCTCTCCAGCCCTTAAGAGAAGGGACAGTATGAGAGGATCATGCCAGTCACTTCTGTAAAAAGAAATAGTTTTAAAGCTGACAGAATACATTTGACTAAAACATTCAAAAGTATTGCAGTGAGATGAGAGAAACCTTTATATAATGTTGAAACTAGACAGTTACGTAATTCTTTTGTGATACAGAGAGTATCAACTGTACGAGTTTCCCCATAGTTTTTTTTTCAGCTGAGAATGTAGGTTATCATATTTAGGAATAAGATTTGGCAAGTTCCATTTTGTGCAGTTTTGAAGATGGGAGTCCTCTTATTTCCCTTAGATCATCAGATGACCAGGTATTTAGGTTTTCTCTCCAGCCCTTAAGAGAAGGGACAGTATGAGAGGATCATGCCAGTCACTTCATTTTAGAGGAATCTCTCTTGTGTCTAAAGATAGTCACCTGAGCTGAGATGTTTATGGTTAAGGGGCAGAGAAGTGTCACCCTTTGTGACATTACAATCAGGAATAGTAGTGTTTTTTTATTTATTCTTCACCATTGCTGCAATGACTTTGTATGTCGAGGGATACCTAGGAAATGGAAAAACAGAGGATATAGACCTGAATGAAAAATTTCTCTTGAGACACCAGTTTGGTAGTTCTGATATAATACATGGTGATGTGAAAGGCAATTTGTGAAAAAAATCTCTTTATCTCTGCAGATAGTCAAGGATGGACTCACAAGAAGTTGAGAAATGAAGCATGCTGGATGAGAAAGGAAAAAATATGATTGTCCATAGTTCCCCAAAAGAGAAAAGCTGAGAAGGGCTTTGAGCAACCTGCTCTAGTGGGAGATGTCCCTGCCCATGGCAGGGGGGTTGGAACTCGATGATATTTAAGGTCCCCTCCAACCTGAACTATTCTATGATTTAGCCAGTACTCTTGAAGGAAAAACTTACGAGAAGGCATCTGAGATCAACTCTGACAGTTTTCTTGAAGAAGCAACCTGAACTATTCTATGATTTAGCCAGTAGTCTTGAAGGAAAAACTTATGAGAAGGCATCTGAAACTCTGACAGTTTTCTCGAAGAAATCTGGAATTCCAAAGTTACAGATGAAAGGGAGGGCCAAAACTTTTGGGATATCAAAGATACAAGACTTTCAACTTGCTATTTTCCCTAATTCCTATAACTTATTCTATGGGAGAAGAAGATATGTTCTTTTCTGTTGCCTCAGAATACTCAAGGATAAACCTGATACAGGTGGTTACCTTCCACATATATGTAGCTTTGCAAGAATATTATTGCTCAGGTGGCCATTGAAGCTAAATGTGTGTCCTAGGTGAAAGAACCTTCCACTGTACAGTATTATCTGACATATCTGAACATATAACTTCTATTAACAGACACACTTGCCGTTGTATCTTTAGACATTTTTGACATGGGTATATTCACTGGTTCTGCTGCCATCTGTGAGAGTGTTGGTTTCTGAAGCATGTGCTTCTCAAAAGGAATCCCCCTAACAGGAAATGGGATAAACTATTTAAAAAAAAATTCTAAGATAAATAATATGTACACTGTAATAAATCATTTCTAGGAGGAATTCCTATTTGCTAGGTCACTGATGTATTATTTGTAATGTAGGTATACTCAGGATTTTACTGCATTTTTGGAACAACTAATTGATGAACAAATATACTACAAAATTATAAAGTTCCCATTAAATCACAGTAAAATATATTTTCCATTCCTAACAACATACATTGTGCTGAAATACATGTTTTGTATTACATTATTAGTGTGTAATACTGAAACATGATTCTGATACAGGAAAACATATTTACTTCTGCTTATGCCTTCAAAATTTGCTGATAAAACAAAGCTATTCAAGGGTGATTTGACTCAAGTGGTTTTATATATCCTCTAAACAACTTAACTAAACTCCAATTGTGGAATGAAAATCTTAATTCCTCTATCCCTCTTCCTCTCCTGAAAAGAAAATGGAGTTACGTAAATATAATTGAAGATGAAATTTCATGCGGAGGCTTTATTCAGTTTATAAGAATGGCAAGCAATAAATAACAATAAAACAAAAACAGTCCAATAACAAAATAATAATTTCTACATGTTACCTTTTTAAGTATGACCTAAAATCCTGAAAATTAAATAATATAATGATCCAACAAACTTAAAACAATATTTTACATATATTATTCAGAACTTGTCCAAGTAATATCAAAATGCTATTAGAGACAAACTACAGAACTACTCTTATGACTTTTCAATAATATTAGTATTATATAATTATTAAATGTAATATATAAATATTAAAGCCAGCTTTCCATTGCGTTACCTTCATTGACAGCAATGGAATAGTCCCAGTTTACTCAAGCAGAGGGCCAAAGTCTAGCATCCATCCCTTAGCAGATTTATAAACAATCAGCCGAAAGAGTTAATCAGAAAACAGGTAATTTAAAATAGGCACAAATATTATTAGTAATGATCAGAAACAGATTTAAGATTAGAAGGTATATTTTCTTGGTTTTCCTACCTGCAATACATAATTCTTTCTTAAGTTCAAGCATTTCTTACTCTTATTATGAAATATATTTAAAGCAAGAAGACCACGTGTCTGTTCTAGTATGAATATGATGATGCTATGACTTTCATCAGCATAAAACATCCAATTTAATATAGGAATACATAAGTTAATTCCAAAGTTCTTTTTTTCATGATAAACCGGTCAGCTCTTTTCTATATAACCTACACAGAGCGTGCATTTTTATTTTCATTGAATTGAGTTATTGTTTTTTGTGGACAGAGAAATTTACTGTCCACGATGGCAGAATAAAATATACCATAATGTTGATGCATAGCTTACTGCAAGACCAGTGTCATCATTCTAGGTAACCTCCGGCTTAGATCAGAGACCTCAGCATTGCAGATATACAATATGCATCCCAAGCAAAAACTGTCCATAAGAATAACTTCATTATTCTGGGAAGTTGGATCTATAAAAGATGTAAAATGTAGAAGTGTTCTGCCTATACAGTTTCTGGTAAGTACAGCCTGAGTAAAGTGATAAAACCTGAGTCAGCTTCGGTTATAATATGCCCTACAGAAAGTTCATCCTTACGTGAAAGAAAATGCAATATGCAGAGGATAAAGCACCCTTGTGCCTATAAACTCATCAGCCAGGATTACCCATCGTGTTCAAGGGTGACACAGTGCTGTGAATTTAACACATACTCTGGCAGTCAGACCCAGCATCACTGTAGTTGTTACCTATGACAAAGGATTAACAATCCGAAATAAACTTATGACAACTCACCAATACTACTGGGCAGATTGATGTGGGTGGTAAAATATGGTCCTTCAAAGGTCCACAGTCACATTCGGGTTTTAGATGTGAAGCACATTTGTTATGCAACTACAGGGAGACAGAAAATAAAGACTGAACTTAGACATTTTCATCCTAAAGTCTAAGAAATTGGGCTTGCCAGAACAGGTGAATTTAATAATCTAATTATTACTAGAGTACTACAAGGAAAATGAAACACACTGCAGTGGAAAACCTCTTAGGCTTAACAAAACCAATGAATTTATATTGAAGCAAAGAACAGTGGATTAAAATATTTTCCAGTTTGGAAGATGCACGTGTGGTCCAGCACATGAAATAAGAACACTGCATGGCAGCACAGTGACATCAGCGTAGTGTTAAATTTGTGATCAAAACTTTCATTTCAGAAGAGAGCTTCTTGCACGGAGTTAGGAACTTCTGCTCTACTACTAGTGGGCAACCCAGGGGAAATTAGGGCAGCCTTTTGCATTATTGGTATAACTCAGCTTCCTACCTGAAGCTGACAAAGTCACCACCGATTCAATTGTGATGCTGCAATAGCTATGAAAATATATATGAAATATAAGACAATAGTGTAAGAATGTCTAAGAGCTTTAAGCTATATTGGGAAAAATTTGGTCTTGATTCAATCAATGTTCAGACTTCCACTGACTACTGAGGAACCTGAATTCCTCTCCTTTTTCTACTTTATTCTTAGCATTTATCCAGTCTTCCTGAAAGCAATAAGAGGAGTTCTACCCTGAAAACCTGGAAAGAATATCCTCAGGTCTGCTGGACTGAAAGAGCATTGGCTTAATTCCCTTCCACTTATAAAGGTGGAATGGAAAAATGTGTATTTAACATCAACATAAAATGCCAACAAATAATGATACATTTATTGAAATATTTTGCATTAGAAATCAAGAGTTTGTGTTGATATTTTAGGATCTAACTCAATTCAAATGTCTCTAAATAGAATATTTCAACATACATATCCAACCACACAGTACATAGGAACAGTTGCGTGCCCTGATTACGCAAAGCATTCACATTTAATTGATATATTTAATAATATTATTAGAGATAGCCACAATAAAATACGACTTCATATTTTGAAATTTGGTGAAACTTTATTATTTTGGACTCAATGATCTTAAAGGTCTTTTCCAACCTAAATGATTCTATGATTCTATTTCTACATTGATTCAATAAACTGTGCATTAAGTTCCTTATGTAAACATGTGTTTCCCATAGAGATTAATATTTTATTTTTGAAAAAATATGCATATTTGCATTAAAGAAGAATAATCAGGATAATAAATATCAGAAATTTTGAAGTAAAATCTTATTTAACAAGTGATTTAACTACTATAATAGGTAGCAGACAGAATTAGTTCAACAGGTTCAATAGCTGTTATAAAATCTGTAGCTCAATGTCTGCATCTCTAAATCACATTTTTCCAATGACTGATTCATTTTCCCGTAGATGATTTAACTATGTCAGCATGAACTCTATTAAAATCACAATAAAACTCTATCAGTTGCTCATGTATATAAGCTTTACCAGTAATATGGTCTTCATAAAGTTATCTGGTAGAGTTAATGTTGACATAACATTTCTGAATTTTGAACTGAATGACACCTAATATTAGCCTTGTCCATATTCATTTATACTGCAAAGTTACCTTTTCAGGCAGTTACTTAGCAACAGAAAATAAAAGTCTAACGAGTTTCGATTGTGAGGGTATTTTGGTAGCCCTGTAATCTAAATCATTTGTCATGCTAATTCTCTGCCTCAGTGGTAAGGCTACTTGTACCATAATTAATGCACACCAGGCCATGTTACATCAAATAAAAGTATCTTCGCACATTCAGTGGTAATTAGCAGCTTTGCTACTCAGTGGCATGCAAACTTATCTATGAAAAAATAGCTTAATCTTCTTATTAGTCTCTGCTGATCTTTGACAACAGAATTGGCGCGGAGCAGACAACAGAAATGGTAGAAGATATGGAGCTGTAATGAAAAAACCACTTTGACACAATGAAAGGAAATAATATGCATCTCTTCTCAAAAAAATGTTTTACCAGATTTTAAATACATTTCCCCAAAATTCCCTTACCCCAAACCTAGCTCCTTTAGAATATTACCCCCCTCACCACCAGATGCCTGCAAAGCAGGAAAACCTGTATTTGCTGGGGAGGAAAGGAAGAAAAAAAACCCCCACATTTACAAGACCATGGTGGAGAACTACAGAGTATATGGAAGAGGGAATCATGGGCCTGGCTAAGAACTCAGTATAACAAGCCTCCTTAGTGGAAAAAAACTCTAAATTTGGGGATTTGATTCAGTTATTTGACATTAGAAGTGACCCTATTAAGCTCTAAGAAGGAGAGATATTTAAGATGCATGAAAGAGGCTCAGAATTAGTTGCGTAATAACTAGCATCCTCTTACATTACAAAAATATGTCAGCAACAAGCCCTAAATGTGGTGTTGTACAAGGAGCTGAAAATGTGTGAAGGATGTGATGATAATTATATAACTTCAGAAATCCATTCAAAAATCATGCATCTGTTCGAATTTTAACTCTGTTTTTTTCAGTAATAAAGTTATTACTATTAGAGAAGAAAGTTATTGCAATAGAATATATAGAACACACAGAAATGCAAGGAAGGTGAATAGGAGATTGAAAAACAAATAATTTGTAGTATTTTTAAAACTTTTAAAATATTATTTTTTTCACTTATGTCAGAAAGTTATTGCAATAGAATATATAGAACAAACAGAAATGCAAGGAAGGTGAATAGGAGACTGAAAAACAAATACTTTGTAGTATTTTTAAAACTTTAAAAATATTATTTTTTCACTTATGTATACATTACACCTGAAGCCATAAAATTTCAATAAAAGTATTAATGAAGTTATTTTGAAAATACATTAATTTTACAGGAAATGAAAATATTTAAATTACTGCTGAAAATACAATTCCAAAATTGTAAAACTCAGTGCCAACATTTTCAGTTTTGGCTGTCAAAAATTTATGTATCAATTTTTAATTGGAATTTTGAAAGATATGTAACCATTTAAGCAGCACAAGCACCTGAGATATTTTCAAAATAATTTAGCCTCTTCCTTCACCATGATTTCAATGATAAATCTTTCCTTGGTATTTCCTCAGTGAATATCAGTTCTTATGAAAGTCTTTTGAATCTCGACATGTATTTTTGAGAAGTAAAACGCCTTTTCAAACTGGTCCAGATTCACATGAAATAAATGGGAAAAGAATTTTTCCAATGAGCTACAGAATTTGCAACTTCCTACAACTTTAAGCCGGAGCCTTTTATAATTTCTATTTCTTGAATGATATACAAATATTATACAGTCGTGAATGCTTCTATATCTGGAGGGGAATACTCTTATTTATCTATCTAAACACAGATAGCCATTGCCTACGCTTAATTATCTGCATGCAAAAATTTTGGATTGGGTGCTTTACACTCTACATAAATTATCCAAATTTTGACAGCAATCTGGACTACATATTTGCTCTCTTCTCAAATATTGGTTTTTAAGTAATCATAACAGCTTATCACTGAAAGTATCCTGGATCTATTTTCTTTGATGATGTTTCATATTTTGTATTCTTGTGTTAAGAAAATATGTCATAAAACATCCAAACCTGTATGTTGAAAACAAACATTCACTAATGCCTCCGTTTCATATTATTATTTAAAACACTGAACAAACAACTGCTGTTCCATAACAATAACAATAATAATATCAGCAAAAAAAAAATAAAATCAAAAACCCTAGAAGGTGGCTGAATGTCTCCCCATTTAGATTTAAATCCTGCCCCGGCGAGGAACAGAAATACTGGCACTGCTCCTTCTAGCATGAAGATCTCACTTATAAAGGCAGTGTTCCTTGAATGTCATTAGTTCTAGTTATTGGTTCCTGCTGAACAAGGAGCACACAAAAGTTGTATATATTAGACTTGCTGCACAGATTAGTATATTATCAAGATATCTCTGCTATTATTCCCAGACATTTGAAATCACTGTATCCTACCAGATGTCCTCAATTTTATTTGCCTGTCAGTACACCACAAATTAGGATTTTGCCCTAGTGTCACAGTGACCTTGACTTCCCCCAGTACTGAGAACTCTTTTATAATCTTTCTGTAATGTAGACTGGGAATTCTGCTCTTTAGAATAACACATATTATTTCCATTTGTATATTGTCTTGAAGCAGAGTGGACTTTTTAGCGTATTTGCTTGCAACAATTAAGGGCTCCTATGAATATTCTGCATATTCCATTTCTTAAATGCACACTATCCATTCCTGATGAAAAAAACTTAACGAGACCTTTTGAAATTTGAGACTATAAAAAAAGATAGGAAAAGTTTTGTCTCTCTAACCTGTGCTAAAGATTTTACTACAGAATACTCACCGTGATCTGACACCAAACACAGTGAAGTCCAGTCAAGCCTTGGTAACATTTTATAGTTTTGTGACACTTATCACATTTTGTTGGACAATTTCCTTCTACCCAGAAATGGTGCATGACCTGCAAAAGAAAAGTGTGGATATACATGGAGTTACTAAATTAACAGCTACGTGGCAAATTAATGCTCCCCCAAACTTACATCAGTATTCTTTTTGGATTTCACATATGTTTTGATGCAAGATGCTGGAGCTCTTGAGACACAGCGCTCATGGACTGTGTACTTGCAAACTGAAAAAAGAAAAGACATTAATAGACATCAAGACAATGGTGTTTCTGACTACATTTTTATGAAAGAAAAAAAAAAATTTACCAGTAAACTTACATCAGTATTCTTTTTGGATTTCACATATGTTTTGATGCAAGATGCTGGAGCTCTTGAGACACAGCGCTCATGGACTGTGTACTTGCAAACTGAAAAAAGAAAAGACATTAATAGACATCAAGACAATGGTGTTTCTGACTACATTTTTATGAAAGACAAAAAAAATTACCAGCATGCCATCTCTATATAATCAATCCAATCAGTCAATGAAAACTCAAACTAGACTGCTTTTTCCATGGAATACAAAAGGCCAATTAGAACAGGAAATATTATGCAAGTGAGAAATCCAAGAATGCACTATCATTGCATAACAGGAAATGCTTAATTAAATCAGAGCTCACTAAATTTTTTCACAATAATTCCCAAATGACAAAAATATTAAAGACAAATTGATGACTGCCAAATGGTTTGGTGTCATTTGCTAGTAGAAAGAAATCTATATTTTACAAACTATAGGCATGAGAGCAGCTGGCAAGCACAAAAATAAAAGCCAATGAATTTATGTTGTTCTTTCTATTGATTTATAAATCTTAAATGGCTGATTAGTCCATTTTCAGATAGCAATTGTTTTCAAGCATTCCGTGTAATCACCCCAACTTTAACTCTTACTTTCCCAAATACCAGCTCCTGAGGTTTTTCTCTCCTCCCCCCTCCACACCAGTTTTAGGTAACTGCTAGCGTTGATGGGGTCTGTAAAGACCACACTAACTGCTTTTGGAAACCACACAAACATCAGAGTACAACGCAAAGCTCTCCTGACTTCAACTACACAACTGTGCCCAGATGAAGAAATAATGCTTAAAACAGCTTATACCTGCATTCAGTGGAGTCAACTATTAAAAACTGCGAATGAATTTCTCCCTGCATGGTATATGTCTCACGCTTTTGACCTCGAGAGCAATTAAGCACAAAGTACTTCTAAACACCTTGCTTGCACCTATTACACAAACCCAGTGGGAGGCGCAGCCATTAATCAGACAAACTGCAGGGAGTAACATTGTTGATTGGACCATGGAGGGATGGTGAAGCCCCCTGCAGTTTCCTTTTTTTATTTTTTTCCTCCCACACAATCTAAAATGCAAATAATGAAATCTATAGCAACGCTTTGAAAATATATCGGAGAAAAAGCTCAGCGAGATGAGGAAATAGTGTAAGAGTTCTGTAAGTAGCCTTCTGCCCCTTGCTGCATCAAGTAACTGAAAAGAGCATGTGGATGTTCTTCAGATCCTCTAGGATCATTGTTCTCACCGAGTAAATGCCAAGCACAATAACAAATACGTTTTGAAGAGGTACATTGCTACAGAGAAAATTACAGCTCTTGAAAGACTGGTCTTTTTGGGGCAGTTTACTTTTATATAACTTATCTACACATTTCTGAGCTACTGAAGAAGATGATCTACATTATTTGCTCAATAGAATTTTCAAACATATAGAGGTCCTATAGTTATTCACAAGGATTATGTTTTCATCAGTCTGACATAAAAGATTATTAAAGAATGTAACATTTCAAGATCTAATAGTCATTTCAGCATTATATATATTCCAGTTACTGTCATCAGCATTTATTAATCTGAAGTTATGCAAGTTCTATTTGTTTGAATTTTAATAAATGTAACTCTCTCATTCCATATATTGTGAATGGAATTATACGATGTGAAAACCCATACATGAAGCATTTACATCTGAATTATGTTTTCAAGAGATCTGTGGCCCTCGGAGGAGAAATGGCTGTTTCCAAAATCCTCATTCATTCAGACTAATCTCAAATTAAATCAATAGAACTCTACAGGCAGAAAGGTCCTGATCAGCTGTGATGGGCTATCTTTCATACCAAAAATGGAGAAATAAGTTACACTAAGAAACCGACTAATTTATCAAAAAGAACAATGAAAGCTGACTTGATACCATCATGAGAAGAATACAGTGGGTACTAAAGATCTCATTAATCTAATGGAGCAGGGCATAACACGAACCAATCATTGGAACCATCTACCAGATATATTCAAATCAGAAAATAGGTCTTTGTTAAAAAAAGATGATCAATCATTGGAACACACCACAAAAGAAAGATATGGATCATCCATCTCTTGAAACATTCAAACAGAGACAAGGTGTCTTTCAGCAAGATTTGGTTTCTCAAGATAAAGGTTAGAGCTGGTCAAACACAGATTATTAGGAGATACACAGATATAACAACAGGATTTCAACTGTAGAAAATGCATTTAAGAGTCTAATGAAGGTCAAATTAGATGCAGCAGTTTGTCTATATTCCTTTACCTTAATATCTATAATCAGCTGATGTGTGAAAGGATGGCAAGACTGAGAGTTATGGTTACAAACCAAGTAAACATACAGAACTTTAGAAGTGTTACTGAAACTTGATTTCTGGAAAACTGGGATTTTGACCTTCCCAGTTAACAAAACAGGAATTCTGTGCAAAATTTGAATAAACAAATATGGGACTTAGATGCTAGCAAAGTTGATACCTACTAAATAATATGAATAATTATTAATAAAGACATAAGCACGATAGTTACTAAGAGAAAAGAAAACAAAAGAAAGGAAAAAAAAAAAAAACAACAAGGGGCAAACTCCACAGGAAACTAAGACTCAGAGCTATCATAATACAGAAAACTCCCTCAAACAACAGCTTTGAAGCCCAATATCCTGAAAAAAATTAAAAATGGAACCTTGAGCAATGAAGCAGAGAAGACAAAGAGGGAGACACCACTGTGCTGGCAATGGGTTTGAACTGGGAAGCTCCTAGTTCTTCATTAGGCAGCGAGCACATTTCTAGGAATAGACGTGTATGCAAAGGGACACTGAAATGCTCATACTCACAAGAACAGCAGAGACCTTGCTTGCCTACTCCGATCAGCATGTTCAAACAAAGATTACAGTAGGCAGGCTTGTTAAAGTGCTTCAGTCTCCATACATGCTGCCCATCATCTTTCACATTCTGCACAGGACATAAAAGAAACAGATTTCACTTAATAAAATAAACAATGAAATATATAAGTGCCAAATAAAAATTGGAGATTGACTCAAGAACGTAAAAGACAAGCTGTTACTTCGTTTAATACTCTGCACCAGATCACAGTATAATCATTCTAAATACACAGGCAATGGTATAATAAAAAAAAATCTTCAGAAGCTCATGGATGTCCATGTGTTTCAAAAACGACTCAGAAAAACACCAGGCTGCTGCCATCACTGCAGTACAGCACTAGCAATAAATCTAGGCTGATATTAAATTACAATTAGTATTAAAACTTACCAAAATTTGTTCTAGACCAATTCTAAAAATAAAAGTCCTGCAGGTTAGAAAGTAAAACTCCCAAAGGAGCAACAAAAAGATTTTATAAAAAAATATACAGATATTTTTAATGACCCTTACAATTAGGGGCGTGTATCAACTTATGCAAAGTGGGAAAGCTGTCCACACTACAATAATACCCTTTGCCAGCTTTAATTTATGTTTATCTACAGCCAATGGTCTATCAAAAAGCAAGTATTTAAGGGTGAGATTTACATCCTGGACCTTTTCTCTAAAAATTTAATTCCTCACACTCAAACCCCCATTTTTTCAGTTAGCTGCAGCACTATACTCAAACCTTCCATGAATAGACTGATCAACTGATAAGCACTTAAAACTCAGGGGCTCACTGTAACTTGTGTAGAACTAAAATATTATCAAATCATTTATGTTTATGAAAGTAAGCTTTCAGTTGCATGATTCTCCTCTTCCTTTGTAATGGAATCTTCTGAGACCTCACTGTACTTAGAAGGTTTTTAAAATTATACACACTTGGTACAGATGTTAAATTAATTCTGTAAATTCCAGGTTTCTTGGCAAGTGTGGCCATCAGGCTTTTTCCTTTTTGCAATCATCAGAGATTTTGAATTTAAAAAAAATATTAGATTAACCCAATGTAATATCACTGCATTTTTTTTCATTAAATTTAATTTTATTTTATTTTTAACAAATAGAACATCCAATGGAGCAAAGACAGTTAATGTGTATCAGCTGGAAATGGTCTGCGGGAGTCTGATTCTTCATTGTGTATTACTGAAACACGATGGTCTTCTTAGTTATTTCATTACCAAAAAGAAATTTTCACATAGCTAAAAGAAGCCACATCAGGCTCTAGTTCTCAGAAGCCACATCAGCAGTTGGTTCTGATCCAGTTTCTGATTTCTCACATCAAACTACACAAACATTTGTCATCATGTTTATACAATGTTCCTGACTCGATCTTCAATAATACGATGGTTTTCACTAAGGGCAGTCAATGTAAGTCAGTGGACACAAATTTTAATAAGAATTCCGTTTTCTTCTGTATTAGTATACACTGCATGAGTTACATCCTTAAAAATCAGTGTTGTTCAATTCTAAGAGTTAGCTGTTAATGACAAGTCAAAGACAATGAAGACTACTTCATCCTTGTGGGAAAAAATCCTGAAGGAAAATTAGCACTCCAAGAAATCAAGAGCGTTTGGGTCAAAGCCAGGTCCTAGCCAGAGCACAACTTTGAATAATTCCTACAAATTACCTAGAAACAAAAGGAACTGAAATTCCAATCAGCTGGATTTTTTTTTAATCTATTGAGATATCGAGATCAGAGCCTAAGTGGAGTTCCCCCAATATTCTCAGCAGGAGTTCAAATGCCATCTCTAACAGCTGGGCAATGTCAGGGTCCCCTTTCTGCAGAACCAGCAGAGCAGATGCCTAATGTGGGATTCTCGGGCTGGCAAAGAGCGTGGAAGTTTTCCAATTTCCCCTGAAGAAGCAGAAATAGATTCTGCAGCTGCAGAGTACTAGAAGGCTGTCAAGCTCCTTCATGACTGGCAGCTGAAGAGGATGTATTTCATTAAAGGGAGCTCTGTAACTTCTCTTTTTCTTTCCATCTTCCTACCACATTCCACGTATTTTTAAAGTATTGTTAAATTGCAACAAGGTATGTGAGTTTCACATCTTCTGAAAGTAGACAATTAATCACTAGACAATAAGGACCATGTAAATCTTTCTGAGAAAAAACAGTAAACAATGTATGCTTTTATTTTAACATTACTCAGGTCACCAACAAATGCAGTCATAAACCACAAGCACTTAAAATGCAAGCTGACCAGCTTTCCTTAGAAAAATATTTGCTATTTATGAAAATTAACAAAAACTCATAATTATGCATAAGCTTGCCCCTCTTCCACATTAGTTTTGTGTTACTTTTTCATTTTAATTTTATTTTTAAAGAATGGCCATTACATGTGAATATGTCACTTCTTATTTGAACAGAACATATGGACTAACTTAGCTGGCATTTTCCTTATCAGAAAAACAAACAAGTCTTGATGTGGGTGTTCTGCCAATTAAAACACTTAACTGTGTTACAGACTGCAACTGATGCAAATCCATTACATAAACACAATGCACTTTTGGAAAATAGCAAATTAAATTTTTGCTCTTGTGCACTGCCAAAAATAAGCAATAAAGTGCTGCATACGATTATGCATGCACATAACTTTTTAAAACACTGCCAAGTAAAAAAACAAACAAACAACAAACCAGACATAATGTGAAACAAAGCCCCCTCAATGCAAGTCTTTAAGTATGAATAAAATCCACAATTCTGACACATCAGTGCATTTACTGACATTCACTCATTTTGCTTCCATATCCTGAGAAAGTTTAAAAACAAATAGTCATTAAGAAGATCTCAAAGCAGGGCAGGTAGAGTAAAAGTCTCTTCCTCGCTTCATTATACATGACTGAAAATGAAGCCTCCATATGCCATATGCAGACTTTAGCATATAATGACAACAGTAACATTTATTTTGTTAACAATGGTTCTCATCTAATCCTGACCCTTCTACCAAGGATTTGATTGTCAAAAGGACCTGACCTTAAAAAGCAAGACAACTATGGAAGAGCCACCCTTAGAATTAGGGGAAAATTTAGCTACACATCCTTAATCTGATTTAATATTAACTTACTTCAGCTTTTCAGGTATGTTTAAATAAAGGTAGCCAAAGAGATATTAAGCTTTCAAGCACAAAACTCAAGATTCTGAGACTTAAAAAGGTAATGAAATAGCTGATAAATTTTCACCCCAGCAAGTATCCCCTCTTAAAATAGCTACAGGAATGTCTGGACTATGCTCTGTGTTTTTCATGAGAAGAGTCAATAACAAGCAACCAAGGGAGAAAGATATTAGGACGTCTACTAAGTTATTCTTTCGCTGTCTATTATTATTGTGTTTTCATTTATTTCAAACATGTTTACGTGACTTGAAGACATCTTTGTGACGGATCGTTGGGTATTTTTCAGTCAGTGGGAAGGTGAGAAGAGTGTCCATTATACTACAGAGCACCTCCTTTTAATACAAACGCAGTTATGTTCTTTACTGGCTCTCAGCAAAGAATTAATGCCAGGTGTTTTTTTTTACAAACGCAGTTATGTTCTTTACTGGCTCTTGCAAAGAATTCATGCCAGGTGTTTTTTTAATCATGGAATCATAGAATGGTTTAGGTTGGAAGGGACCTTTAAAGATCATCTAATTTCTCCCTCCCTGCCCTGGGCATGGACACCGCCCACCAGACCAGGTTGTTCAAAGCCCCATCCAGCCTGGCCTTGAACCCCTCCAGGGATGGGGCAGCCACAGCTTCTCTGGGCAACCTGTTCCAGTGTCTCACCACCCTCACAGGAAAGAATTTCTTTCTAATACCTAATCTAAATTTGGCTTGGGGAGTGGGGGTTCTAAATCTCTTCTGGTTCAACTGCAGAGGAAGTAACCTCATTCATGAGACATTATTCAGTAGGGCTCCTCAAACTTCTGAGAAAACAATTTCTTTCTAATATCTAATCTAAATTTGGCTTGGGGAGTGGGAGTGCTAAAACTCTTCTGGTTCAACTGCAAAGGAAGTAACCTCATTCATGAGACGTTATTCAGTAGGGCTCCTCAAGCTTCTGAGATATATTATGTGTTTCTCCACGTGTGTATTGGAGAAAGAAAAAAAAATAATAAAAATCACTTTCCCAGCCCTCATTCCCATATCCAGTGTATTATTCTGATCATCCAGAAATCCTAAAGCATGAATATGCACATGAGAAAATGACGGCATAGAAAAGGGAGACCAGAAGGTGAAATGAATTTGTTTAAACAAGCTTCGTAATTAGCCATGTTTCCCTGTCCGTAAATTGGTAGTCACCTGTCATCTGCAGAGACTGAAATGCTGCAGAAATTACTTTTTAAATAATGGTAAATTTGTATACCTGCCTGAAATACCATTTATTTTACACCTTATACACAGAACAGGTTAGGGCTACTTCTGACTTCTCCTCGGCTTCTACAGGTAAAAGGAAAGGAAGGACCACAGTAAGGAAAGACATTTGCAAACTTCCTGTGAAGAAGTGGGAACTAGTGCCGCAGAAAAGCGGACAGCGCTGTCAAGAAAAGAGAAGTGCACTTTTTTAGCAGCTCCTGCAACGAAGTCTCAAAAAGCATTAACATTACCCCCTCTGCTGGCAATGCCATGGAACGATACTGGGAAAATAGCTCCCATTTCTGCTTAGGGTGACGGCTTCCCAGCTGGTGAGGAGCTGGCACAAAGAGGGGAAGCTACAGCTTCTTCTGTAGGGGCTTGCTTTTGCCCTCTGTAAATATGGAAATAGCGTATGGCTCATAGGCACCTCAGCCTTTTAGAGAGCTCACCTGCCAAACTTCAGACAGGAGTTAGAAAAATAACACAAAGGAAAAGAACAGGCCAGATCGCTCTCCTAGAATCACAGAATGGTTTGGGTTGGAAGGGACCTTAAAGATCATCAAGTTCCAACCCCCTGCCCTGGGCAGGGACACCTCCCACTAGACCAGGTTGCTCAAAGCCCCATCCAGCCTGGCCTTGACTCTCATTTCCTCACTGAATGAAAGAAATTCAAGTTCACCAAACTGCCGAGGTATTAAACAGGCCTTTCAGACTTCAGCCTGAGATGGACTCCTCACGGTGCAATAGATCCCACACCGGGCTTGCAAGTGTTTGCAAGTCCCCAGTTTGGTTCCACTTTTACATACTCAGAGCTCAAAAAGTAAGACAACAATAATAAGAAGCAGTATTTTCCAAGTGTGGACTCACACTCGAGTATTACATCCCATATTTAATCAAAAAGATTAAAAAAACCCTACCTTTTAAATTCTTGGAGTGTAATAGCATAATACTTGCTGCTTGAAGATCCAAAAAAGAGGATATTTCTTTCTGACTTAATTGAAGCCTAGTCACACTTCAACACAAATGCGTTTGCCTTATTGACATTTACCTTGACTTAAAAGGTGAAATGGGGTGAAAGTTACAATAAGTGACTTAAAAGAAAGGCATAGTGGCCTGGCTTCAGATTATTGATGACCTTACAAACCATTTACTGTTACAATTTCTCTCTCATCTTAGGGCAGCTTTTCAGCAACTGCACAGTACCAGCTACAGTGCAACCGTGACATCTAGTGGCCAACGAAGAGGGAACAAAATATTTGCATTCCTAAAACATGGGATTTATTTTTTTAAAAAACTAGCACTTCCAAACTTGCTGTTTATACCTAATTCTATGCACAATCACTGACAGAGGTGACAGTAATGATCCATTCAAAGAGAAATGAGACCAAAATACCTGACATGGAATTACTGTAGAAGAGAAATCAAGTGCTTTTATTAGAACAGGGTGGAATAATATTGTGCAAGTGAGAAATAGAGGTGACAGTAATGATCCATTCAAAGAGAAATGAGACCAAAATACCTGACATGGAATTACTGTAGAAGAGAAATCAAGTGCTTTTATTAGAACAGGATGGAATAATATTGTGCAAGTAAGAGACTCCTAGCAAAGGCCACAGTACAATGTTCATGGACTGACAAAAACCCTTACAAGCAAGCCATTATTAAAGGAGCTTTTTGTGCCTAGATTGCAAAGGACATCTAAAGCAATGCTAGGAGAGTCAACGGAGTAACTCTCAAACTTCACTGACAATTTTGATCTACTTCAATTAATACAGAAGGAAACAAAAAAGCTCAGAATTTTTGAAGTTTTCTACTGTGGAGGAGTAGAATAAATAGCCTGGTGGTCACTAGTCTGCAATAGGCCACTTCCTGAAAGTGTAATTATCGACATGAAGGAGTAACGCAGGAACATCTCTGTCCAACCTGTGTTTGGATGGGAGACAAATAAACTACTGCCTTCATGAAATTCCCACTTTTCATAAGAGAACTTCTTGGAACAACCTCCATGAAACTGGCACAACTAAATACCTCAGAGCAAGAGCTATGGGTCTTAAAGGTTTCAATAGGTGCGGTACAGAACACATTCAGCCACTGCTCAGTGGGAAAAGTGCAGTCATCCAAGTACAAATGGATTATCCACCTAAACAACGTCAAGGCCTCTTCTCACAAAACAAATTTCCAAACAGTATGTGTATCACAGCACCCCTGTAGAATAAGAACTAATTAATTTCTTATTTAAATTCCTTATCTTTTACTGAGGTTGCTTGCTTAGCACACCAACTGCCTTGAAAAGCACCAAAATAAGGATATGTTTTTTCTATCCTGGAACATTCCCACAGAAACACACAGTGGTTCTTGGTGACAGAAACTCTGGCCCATGCTGATAGCAGACTACGGAGTTTTGATCACTGTTTAATGCATGCTTATTATTTCCATAGTAAAGCTACACACAGCAAGATAAATTATCTAATAACTAGTAAAAATAACTAGTAAAAAATCAAAAGGATAAAATGTCTGAAAACATACATTTACCTAGTTTCTTTCTAATTACAGAACTTTTGCTTTAATATGAAAATAAATTAATGCAGATCCTTCTGTAGAGATTTATCACAGAATTTAAGTTTCGAATTTAGAAAGAATATAGTACAGATGCTGAAAAATACTGCCAGAACAGCTACGCTACCTGTCACAAAAGAAAAATCTGTACTAAAAATGACTATCACTTATCTGTTGTACTGATTGCTTGAGAGCATTTGCTCCCCTTTTATTTAGAGTAATTCTGTGGAACAGAATACAGCCTGAAAAATATTTGCTGTTTGATGACAGGGATGCAATTTAACATTTTTGTTTCTTGGTAACACATAGAGAATTAAGGAATCAGTACTTACAATGATCCAAATGTACTGAAGGTTATCCTCAATTCAGATATGTAGCTGGTAATTTGATTAATAAGATTTTGCAATATTTTTGATATTCTGCTAAAACCACTGTTTGGTTGCATATTTCCCTACAGAAGGTGTCGGTCTGACCATTCTTTATGAAAATAAAATGCTACAGAGCAACTACAGCACTCTATTTCAGGCTGTAGCAGTATATGGGGAAAGTAAATATAATTTATTATTTCACCTCAGTATCTGAAAAAGACTTCAGAAAAAAATATTAATAAAAATGTTTTATATCAAATGACAGAAAAGCATTTGAAACATATGCTAAGATACATGTGCTCAAAATTAGCTCAAATACAGGACAGCAGGTGGCACTGGCAACATGCCAGCGTTAAAACAGCTGTGTTGAGCTGGTATAAAATTAATCATATTACATCTCTCTTATCTTTAATGTTAAGTTGTAAATGTACAGAGCATAAGCTCTTCTCTAATAACACTCTGTCCTTTGGTGTAAGTGTTCTCTTTGATATTGCTATTTAGTATGGTTTATTCAAGTAGTTACAGAGACGAAGAACTATCTTTACAGGGATGTACCATGACAGGACAAGAGCCAACTGGCAATAATTTCTGCAGAAGAAATTCCATCTGTGCCTAAAAAAAAAAAGCTCTCTCGCTTGAGAACAACTAACACTGGGAAAGGCTGCCTGCAGAACTGGTGGATTCCACCTCACTGGAATTACTCAGGACTGGGCTTTACAGGGTCCTGGATAACTCAATCTGTTCTGCCTTTAATAAGAAGCTGGACCAGGTGATCTCCAGAAGTTCCTTCCTTCCAACCTAGATCGTTCTGTGACTCCATGTGGTTGGGCCACCCAACACAACACCATGCTGAGAAGTGTCGACACTGCTCCAACCCAGCTGTAACACACACACGGGCAGCAAAACACTCTTAACAGATGCTACTGCAGCTAGGAATTAACAATATGCTGTTAATAGGACATATTAATCGGCTTTTTACAACTTCCCACACCAGAGTTGGCTCCTTTGGTGTTGCTTAAGACATGCTAATGTACCTCTGACTTTGAAGACACACCTCCATTCTTTGCTTGTTATTCAGCCATAGTTAAAAAAAAAACAACAATGAAAAGCCATTCTTGATACAGGCCACAGAGAAACTAACCTGAGCCACAGCTGACATGTAAACAGAAATTTCACACTTTTGTGTTCATACTTACATTCTCTAACCCAAGAAGGACCAAGAGCGGGATTGTTGTCATTCCTCCTTGGATCCACTCTTCTAAAGAAACAGTGCCATCATGATCATAGTCAATTTCTTCCATCATTTCATGAAGGATCTATACAGTTTAACAAAAAAATCTTATAAATTCCATATTCTAATAAAGCATGAAGACATGTACAGATCTCCAATTCCCTCATTGGCATGCAATAAATAAGGAAATATTATTTCTATGGCACCTGCATTAAAGTGAGTGCTGACAGTTCAGAAAATTGAGTGTGATATTCCTATTTATATTTTATTATCACCTAAAGTTCCCAAACCAAGTTGTGTCCCCTCATGTACTTACTATGTACAACAGAAATATAAGGTAGTTACTTCTAAGAAATTTTCAGAGACAAAGCAGTTGTGTTATAAATATTAATTGCTACATACACTAAAGAAAAGCTTTAAACTGTAGAATGTTTCACAGATAGATTTAATCAGAAAAAAGACTCACAAAAGTGCTAATTGACAGTGTCACGGTAGAGCACAGACTGCTATTATTTCTATATTACTAATATATAGAATCACATGTTGACATGAAGTATCACATGATTTAACACCATCTCTAGCAAAATTAAAAATCTGTGATAAAATGGGTGCTTACTGGACTCAGTTCAGTAATATCCCATTCAAGGTACTCTGCAACATGCATCATTTGAGCAATGATATTTTCCAGCTCCTACAAAGGGAAGAAAAAGAACAAATACATTTAATGCAATATTATAAAGACAAATTCTGCTGCTAGCAACTTGTAAGTCAAACATATTGCATTCAGTGACACCGTTTCATCAATGTTCCTAGTGAAATGTCCTTTACACTGGAAGTTGTCCACTCTTGGGTGAATCCATTAGCAAACCATCCAGCATGGACTGCAAAGTATGCAGGGAGGTGAAATATAGCCCCGAACCAAAGGACAGCCTCTGGGTTGGAAGCAGTAATAGATTCTTCCTTTCTAGTTGTTCATTTGATCATTGGTTTCATGACCCAAAGTCCATCCTGTGAGGTAATGATGTAAGGTCTTCCTAATCCCATCCTAACCAGTTTTTGACAGAAATTGTATAATTAACAACTTTCTAATGGAAATAAGGCATACAGCAGACGGTATAAACTAAAAGACATATTTACTCTCCATTATAGTGTTGTAATTGCCCTCGATCACATATGACTAGTACTTTTCAGATTCATAAATACAATATGGTTTGTGAGCATGCTCAAATGCTTATCTAGAACCCCTCTGAATTCTCATGTGTATTGATTATGCACTAGTTATCTAATTAATATTTTGTATTGCCTAATATACCTCTATGTAACTTAGCTTCCTTATTTCCCTATCACTTACGGGAATCACCACCTCTTCTTTACTAGTCCACTCTATGGTGTCTTAAGAGAAATACAAAAGGAAAAAAAAAGAAAAATTTTTTAAAAAGCTACCAATTAAATACTTATTTCTGCCAGCTAACATTTACCAGAAAAAAAAAAAAAAAACACATTTTTAAAATTATTGATATATCTATGATTTTCCTTCAAACATTTGGTTGGGTTACTCCTCAAAACTTTGTATTTAATATTGTTCCTCCATGCTTAATAGCAACATGAAAGTTCTGACATCTCTCCACATATATGCACTCTCACACTTTCCTCTTTTGATGAAATCTTTATAAACGGCACTATGATACACATTGCCCAGGAGAATACTAGAACTTTAAGAATCATATTAATGTGTACATATATGTACAGTAATACAGCAACATGATTAAAAAGTCAACAGACCATAGAATAGAACTCCACGATAGCAGTGTCAGCATTTGAAAATGTATACAGTCATAGAAGCAGCAGCTTAAAGAAAAACTCAAGAGTTGCTTTCAAAATGGGTGGATTTTTATTGACCATAGTTTATACTGCTTCTATTAATTCAGGATAAATATAAGCTTGATTTGGATTAATGTAGTTTTGTATGAATTTTCTGTTACATTCATACAATGCATTAAAATACTAAATAACATTACCGAACTATCCAGGTATCCATTCCCATCTGTATCATATAAGCGAAACATAACTACAAAGGAAACAAAGAGAAGGAAACTCAGTTAGAAAACAGAGTAACAACATTATTTCCTAAAAAAACCCACACAACCCTAAACACATCAAAGCACAAACAAACCAAACCTAAGTTTCAAAGAAAGGACAAACATAAACACTTTCCTTTAACAATCGCACTAACTGCAGACCCCCCAAACCCTGGATTATGTGAGAGGTTCCCTCAGCGACTACCCAGCCACAAGGCATCTCAGCAGGACAGTGCCATTGCTCCTTTTCCATAGAATCATTCTAACAGCTAATTTGGTTTGTAAACTTAATTCTGGTTCTTCTCAGAGATGACACGTAGCCATGGTAAGCACCACCAAAAGGCCCTTCTCTGCTGTCTCACCAACACCCAATTGGTCAGGCAAATGTTGATAAACCTGCTTAAGCTGGTTGCAGCTATCGCTATTCAATAGTAACGTTGCTTTAGAAACGCCTTCTGACCAACTAATGGAACAGAGGATTATTATTTGAAGTATCTAATCAGCCAAATCCAACGATAAACATTCCTCACAGACTGCCAGCATGACTCCTTCCAGGACTGGGCTTGCTTCAGCACTTTGAAAATTTATTCCCAACATTTTGGGGAGCTACCCAGAGAAGAATAGCTGCGTTTTGATAACGTTCAGAAAAAACATATACTTTCAAGTTTGTATATTACTTCATTCCAGCCACAAGAGTGGCTATGTCCATCATTACCAAGACATTTCCAAGCAGCTTCCTCAGCTGATCATGCACTGCATCAGATTGCAAAGCAGGAGAAAGCCTGGAGCCTTGGTAGGGACACAGTTAAAAGGCTAAAAATGAAAACCAGAAGCCCATGAACCTCACTCTTTTTTCTCTACTTTCTGGGACAGTTTGTCAGAGCTCTGAAATGTAAACACCATCCCCTTCAAAAGTACTCCCTTTTTTGCCCTAAATCTATTTCCTAAGGAGTAAGAAGACAGCCCATGTACAGGTGGTTCCAGGACACTGTAATGCCTTGGCTGATAGCAAAACCAAGCAATTTGCTTACAAACTGCCTTATCAGGTATCTTTGGAAACATAACATATGACCTATTCAACAGTGAACAATCCCACCACATTGGATCCTTGGCAAATGCCGTTACAGTCCAATAAATTCTGCAAGTAAAGCTTATCACAGTGTTCAGGAAACAATACAATGAGAAATGAGAGGAAAGTCTTAGCAATTAGAAAGTAAAGTTCAGAAAAAACTTGATTATTTTTGACTCACAGCAAAACATATTTAACTGTTACATAGATTGTCTTGCTTTCCTTATATCCCCCCATCTTATTCCCTAGTTGAGCACCTAAGTGTAAGGAAAATATTTAAGCACTATACCTCTCTACCACTTCAGCAATTTTTGCCACTACATCACACTGCTTTTAAGAGCTGTAACACAAGATTAAAGATATTTACAGTAGTACATTGTTTCAAACTACAAAGGTCCATTATTCATTAGTTAGAGGCTAAGAAAACCTATAAAAATATGTGAATTACACGGGAGAAATGTTTCAGTGTAAAACAACAGTTAATGCTAAAAGCCAGCGGAGATTGGTACTGCCCCTGCTCGCACACCTTCTGCCAAAGCTGCTCAGAGCACGACAGCTAATATTAACTGGCAAAGGTGTCAGTGAGCATTAACAGTTTCCATAGGGATGAATCACTGAATCACTCCGTGATAAAGTTCAGATCATTTGGTTCTCCTGCCTTCCCCCTCCGTGACTGCAATGCACTGGGTGAAAGAATGTTCTACGCTTATTGTGAAAACAAGTTTTAGCATCTCCCTGATCTTTACCCACTTCAGAAAAGTAGTGCTTACAACTTTCTTTTTTTCCCTTTAATGTGAATCAGTAGCTCTAATCAGTCATTTAAAAAACAGACATTAGCATAATTATACCTGTTTCACCTTTGTAACAAACAAAATCTCTCCGATTACATATGTAATCGGGTAGTGAAAAGGCTCAATCTGTGCTCTGGGCTAGAGTCTGAAAAACTATGTTACTGGTGTGGCATGCAATCTCTTTTCTATTCATATACTGCTAAATATTCATGTTCTTGCTGATTTACATATTGTAGAAGAAAACTGCTAAATATTCATGTTCTTGCTGATTTACGTATTGCAGGAGAAAAAAACAACAACAAAATTATAAAAACAACTGAGCAAAAGTTGTGATGTAAATTACAGAGCCCAAATCAATTTTTTTATATTTCTTTTCCCATCCCCTTACCTGATAGCACTGACTGGCCACTCAATTTCTATTTCTAGAATGCATGCCTTTTATAAATAATTAAAAAATGTATTAAAATTAAATTACCAGCATGAGATCAGTCACTGCAGTTCTATACTCTGACTGGCCACTCAATTTCTATTTCTAGAATGCATGCCTTTTATAAATAATTAAAAAATGTATTAAAATTAAATTACCAGCATGATATCAGTCATTGCAGTTCTATACTTTCACCTGAAACCTCTGGACTTCTAATCTTTCCTATGACAAAACTTGGAATTCCAAAAATTCCAAGAGCTCAAAATTATGTCCTTTTGAAGAGAAACTGGGGTATTCATTCTCTAAAATATATGCACAAGCAAGAGCTTTGAAAACTGTAAGGCTTGTCATTCTCCACAGAAGCTTGAGTGTCCAAGAACTGCAAAGCATAGCAAAAGACAGACTATAACTAATCATATCACTGCAAAAATACAAAAGAACAGTGTGGCATCCTTGAAACTTCTGCAGGTACGGAAAGAACAGGAACAGAATAGCCTGGAAAGCATCTTGCTAAGAGAAACTGACAAAAGAACGCACCACTCATTACTCTTGGAGTTTCTGTTCATAATAGCGAAGAGAAGTTTGAGCACTTCCAAGCATTTTATGTTTGCAAAGCTATGTAGGTTGTATGCTTCCTTGTGGCATCCTTGAAACTTCTGCAGGTACGGAGAGAACAGAAACAGAATAACCTGGAGAGCTAGGAGAAAGCTAGGAGAAACTGGCAAAAAAACCCACCACTCATTACTCCTGGAGTTTCTGCTTATAATAGTGAAGAGAAGTTTGAGCACTTCCAAGCATCTTATGTTTGCAAAGCTATGGTACCTGAGGAGGTTGTATGCTTCCTCCACACCATTTATGTCTAATGCCCTTCACACTGCCTCCTGGCATTTCTCTGAACTGTTTCACAAGAGATACATGTCTGGCAACCATGGTTATACTGCTAAAAAACACATACAAATTGAGAAATGGGTTGTGCTGATAAAGCATCCTGTAATTGTGAGTTAATAACTTTTGTTGTTGGAGTCATAAAAAGAAGAAAAGTTGAGCTATGAAACACCACTGTTCATTTCTTAGCAATTACCCTGCATATTTATCATAGAAGCCACACCATTTATGTCTAATGCCCTTCACACTGCCTCCTGGCATTTCTCTGAACTGTTTCACAAGAGATACATGTCTGGCAACCATGGTTATACTGCTAAAAAACACATACAAATTGAGAAATGGGTTGTGCTGATAAAGCATCCTGTAATTGTGAGTTAATAACTTTTGTTGTTGGAGTCATAAAAAGCAGAAAAGTTGAGCTACAAAACACCACTGCTCAGTTCTTAGGAAGTACCCTGCATATTTATCATAGTGAACCCCTCCAGGGATGGGGCAGCCACAGCTTCTCTGGGCAACCTGTTCCAGTGTCTCACCACCCTCACACCAAAGAATTTCTTCCTGAGATCTAATCTAAATCTCCCCTCTTCAGTTTAAAACTGCTACCCCTTTTCCTATCCCTCTCCCCTCTTTCAGTTTAAAAATGTTACCCCTTTTCCTATCCCTCCACTCCCTGATAATGAATCCCTCCCCATCTCTCCTGTAGATTTACAAGGGATCTTTCTTACACATTGAAGAATCACAGTGTGGACACCAGCAAGCAAAGCCTTGTACAGGTAAAAACAACATGGAGAGCTGAAAATGGTTTCTATGGATCAAGTCTACAGGTTGAGGCACAGAGCATGAAAGTACTTAACAATATAGATGCACCTGCGACTATTTGCAATATGACCTTAAAAAGAGAACTCAAATTCTTCCAATGTATCTCTGCTAGCAAAGTTTAGGATGTTCTTTATATTCAGGACACATAGTTTATGTCTAATGTATATGCTTATTGTTTCAAACAGGTAAGGATTGCAGTGGTTAAGACTTCCAGAAATACTCTGTTAATAGGTTAAAGATTCCATTTATCTGCTGGAATATTTGTAAATCTATGAAGATCCATAGATTATATCGATCCCAAATCTAAACACTATTTCCTCTTAGTGTATTTTATCTTAAAAAATCCTCCAGCTTTTATCAGATTTTATTTGAAAGCACTGCTTCTATGTTCTGCTTGTCACGAATCAAGTTTCCAAACATTCAGCTATGATTCAGAATGTTTCCATTTTTTGTCAACAGGAAAAAAATATCATTATTTGAGATTAGTATTAATATTAATGTTGGCAACTCCAAAAGAAGCCATCCTTTTTTTTTTTTTTTTCACTTCACTGCTACTAATTTACCTTACAGCCACAGGATATGCTGCTACAAAATTATTTCAGAAAAAGGGTTAAATTATACCATTTATTTTTAAAGAGAATTCAACAAAAATCAACAGGGAATTCTGCATACTAATGGTACAGCGTAAGCCAAAATTTCTACACTAAAAAAAACAATAGGTGGTATATTTTAACTCTGTATGACAAAGTAGAAAATAAAACTACATAATAACCATCTTCTTAAATATATGTAGTACATGCAAATGATCTTGAATATAAAAAAAATGTAAGTACCACACATTTATTAGATCAGGCCCTCTCGCTCCTAAATCATATAGATAATCTGTAGTCTTTTGCCTTTGCAGTTCCTGTTGCAGGAAGTTCAGAGAACATCCCCTACGCTAAAATCATCATCTGCTCCTCTGTCTCTCCCTCTCTTCATTGTACCAACTCCTGACACCAGGGGAGGCAGCTGATCTCTGTATTTCACGCTATGGTTTGTGCATAGAGCTCCTCAGAGCTCTGATAAGACTTGCATTACTTGTTACTATCAAACAGTTATATTCTAACTCGAATTGAACTCTAGGATCTTAGTTTTCCTCTGCTTGTTTTCTGAATGCACACACACACACATCCTCATATTCTAATCATACGATACCAAACTGGTATCTAGTTTTCCTCTGCTTGTTTTCTGAATGCACGCTCACACACACATCCTCATATTCTAATCATAAGATACCAAACTGTTATTACCAAATTTGGGGATGGCTCCTTACAATCTTTGCAGAGGCAAAAGCATTGGTGATCTTACAGTACAAATTTGTCTCTGTAAGCTAAGTTCAGGCAATGAAATACCAAGATACTTCAACAACATGCAGCCACGTAACGTTGTAGTGAATTTCTCCTTCCAGCAGAAGCAGTGCACTATATGCATTTCCCATCGTACTGAGTATTTACTCTCCATACAGTGATTTAAGCCTTGATGCCCCAGTTCTTTTATAGACTTTTAAATAGTCCTTTTATATACCAGCTATGTATATCAAAGCATATCTGGTCTCAGTAAGGACTATAAGTTTGGATGGACTGTTTATCTATCTGGAAATGGGCTTCTACAATTCTATAATGGGGAAACCCACAGTTTCCTTCTTTTTTTTCTTCACTTCGCAGATCATACTTTCAGATATTTTTTGAACAGGCAGAGTTCTTGGGCTTCAATAAACCAGGCCCCTAATTAAAAAAAACCAAGTAATTCCTAACTCTCAGTGTCAAACACTCACTCCCAACTGTGGTGCAGATGGGGTCATTCTTGGTTTTTCTATATTCACTAATATTATAGAGTCCATGGTCTATATTAACTATTCTTTGTTTGAATTACTTTCTATATATCATTAAGCACCCCCTTCATATTTTGTTTGTTTTTCTTGATACTAATCAAGAGACAACAGTATAGAAAGGATTATATTAATTGCAGAATATATGATCTTTACTCTTCATCTTAGCATGTGCGAGAGATAATTTAGCTAAAATCCAATCAAATCAGTACTATAAGCAAAAATAAATGATCATTTCTGCAATAATGGTCACCTAGAACCATATTTTTATAATGCAGCTGCTCAAAACTGAGCCTTAAACTCATAAAATTTAGAAACAGAATTTGTGATGACTTACTGAAATAAATATATAAAATTAACTTAAAAGAACATACACTCTAGCTTGTCTTCAGGTCTTCCTCTTTCTAGCAGTGACAAGTAGCAAACGATATCTTTCAGCTGGATCATGTCTGGTGAATGTAGGTTGGCAGGAGTAGGAGGTCGGGATGTAGAGGTACCTTTGTTAAGTCTCAGACCTGGAAATAACACAGAGCCTTTGTTATTCTTCATAATTCATGTTCATAGTTTATCCAGCAAAAGCAGAACTAAAATGATAGTGAGGTTTTAAAATATTATATGGATAAAGCAAACTACTGGGAAAAAAAAAAATCAATTATGGGAATGGTATAACCCTTTTCTGTGTTGTCAGAGCAACACATTTAAAACATGGAAGCCTCAGCCATGGAATACTATAGAAATAAACATAGAATTTAAATAATAGTCACAATAATTGCTCAAACGTTTGACCAAGAGCAGTTCCAGTGTACCACTTGGAATACAAGTTTCAAAATTCCAAACTTTTTGTTTCAAGACAACATTAATCTGACCAGTCCTGATGACATTACTGGAATCTGCAGGACCAATAAATTGAAGCAAAAATGGGAAAGGACAGGAGAACACAGAAAAAGCACTAATAACACTTTTTTACAAGTTTGTTACATTTGCCACTGACTTTAGTGATGTTAAAGATGAAACTTTACAACAGGATTTACTGTTCTTAAATATTTTCTACAAGTAATTCAGAACAGATTCATCATTGCACACATAACCTGCATTCATAATTTCTCTCATCTATTTGTTTTGGACAAGTTAATTACTGTAGCAAATGGAAACAGAATTCTAGTGGGGTTCCTCCCCCTGCACCCCTAGTTTTTATCTTGAAAAACTTCATTACAATCTGAAGACATTTTCCAAGGTCCTCTGAAGTACGCACATTAAAAAAAATATTTCAGGAAATAAGAGCATATTTGCATGCAGAAAATATAAGTTTGAATCACGTTCATGTTCATGGTTTCATACAGATGATAAACACTGAAAGTAAATATTTAAATTAATAAAAAGATTTAATAGGGTTATGTTCTTCTAAATGAGCTTGCATGTTGGTTAAGTGCCCTTAAAATTAAGACATTATAAAATATTCATCAATTAAGATGCTAGCTTTAATCACTCAATTTACACAAATAGTTCACATTCCAGTCTTACACGAATCTTATGCACAGAATAATAAGTATTTTAAAGCTTGGCCTAACTCATCTCAAAAATGTATAGTCCTGAAATCCAAATGAAAAGGCATACAAATTTTAAGATATCTTTTAGCTTATCATTAGCTGCAAGGTACACGTTTTAAGTGTTACTTTTTAATCAGAGGAGGAAGAGTGGGGGCTGCAATGTGCTGACTTAGTGCTGCTGCTTACCTGGCATCTGTTTCCATCTCTCTTCAGAAACCTTAACTGAAAACACAATTTATAAACAGACATGAGTGGACAAAGAGACAGTAATTAAAAATGGACACATACCAGACAGACTTATGAACCCAGCTTTATCATTTCTACATACAAAGGGTCAAAACCACAGAAATACAACACCAGAATGATAAAAGATGACTTTTTTAAAACATAGTACTCAGACAATATATGTAAAACCACAGCATAATAAAGATGCACTGCTAAATGGCAGCTGCTATTAGAGTTAGGCAAAAAGCGTTAAGTGTAAAAGATTACAAATTCTGGTGGCTGGTACAGTGCATGTTTATTGCTGATGTTACTCATTGATGAAAACAAAATGAAAACTTCAATGAAAACTTAAAAGTAACAAAAGCAGAAATGAAATTGTACTGCTGAGATTTTATAGGCAACAGAAACTATATTCATAGTTGAAAAAAATGCAATGCTGAATATTTATGACATCCAAAATATACCCTGCAGCATACAAGAATACATTAAGACATGCCCATAGAGATTCTGTTGCCAAGCATCTTTAAGGGCAAGGGACTGAATCACTTGTCTAAATGATCTGCCCAAACCCATGAGAAACTCATTATCAGAACTGTAATTAGCAACAGGAGGTTTGGAATACTCCACCCAACTGATTACACTCTAGTCTACTAAGCCTACTGCTCTGCACATGGAACCAGTCTACACAACTAGCAACAAAAGCCCAAGAAGTTGGAAATGTACTGTCAACACAGCAGTTACTCGTGGAAGGAGATGCATCCATGGCACTTCTGATTAGAAAAGATAAAAAAGTTACCCAAAGAATTCAATTCAAATGAAAAAAAATAATTATATAGATAATCATACCCTCAATGTGGTAATCAAGCTCTATTTATTATTTCGTTAGGTCTAGGTAAAGTTAATGACCATTATATATACGTATTATAATATAATTGAAGACAATAATGTAATATTTTTGTTTGGTTGGTTGTTGGTTTTTGCCAGGAAATATAAAGCTAAGAAGTGGAAATTACTGTTACTGTAAACTTAAATAAAGAAAAATAACTGAAACCCATCAATTTAACATAGTTGAGAATGGCAGGCAGTAAAAAGGGAAAACAGGCCAGACTCAGGGGGTGATACCTGGAAGCCTAAAATTAGCATTGTACACTGAGGCATCTCTGGAATTCTAATGCTTGGTATCTGCAAGAAAAGCTGAACATTTCAGCTACTTACACTTGTACAAATTCACAGCTTCTGGATGAGTTGCTATTTGAAGACACCTCATCTTCATATAAAGAATTCAAGCGATTAAGTACCCATCAAACCAATTGGTAACTTGCTCTAAGTGCTTGATTATCCCAGCTGCTCAAAACATGCAATTTATTTCATTAAATTAGTCTAGCTTCTGCTTCTAACTACTGGATTTTGATAGAGTTCCCAGACTGCAGAAGTGCTAAACCAAATATTTCAAGTTTGGAAGGTAACAAATTTCTTAACGCAAATTTTCTTTAAAAGTTTTATAAAATTCTGTAAAAAAATTTTTTTTAAACACTACTTTGCATGGAAGTATCTTAACATGTTAAGTCCTCTGAACTCAAAATCACTTTCAATAAAAATGTTCAGTTTCGCATGAACGTTTTAAACTGCATTAAAGAAGATCCTTACATTGGGAAAAGAAATACTGCTAACACTTGCAGGACATTTAAAATATCAGTAGCTGGTAAGTATGTAGGATAATAATAGAAGTATCACACCTAGAGAATTAAGAGAAGCAGCAGTAACCAGGCACAGAAACTGGAGAGCACCAGCAGAAGCCTCCCAAATGAAGCTCTGAGGGTTTCCAGGTGTTTATCCGGTAGAGTAGGCAGCAAGATCATGTAACCAGAACAATCTGATTAGCACTAACGTGATAAAGATTGTCCACTTGGTGTCTCAGCTGCATCATTATTGTGAATTGAAAAAAGGAAACCTTTTAATTTCCATTTCTTTTGATATTATTTCTTGTTGGAGTTAGTTTCTCCAATCTCATAAATATCAGAACAAAAAAGAAGAAAAACATATAGTTTAGTATTGCATATATTTATAGCTATTAGAAGTAAAATAGGAGAGGCAGGGAACTGTCAATTCTTGTATTAGTGATTTTAGTACTCACCTCCAGAAAGGTGCTGGGGTTTGTTTTTTATTAATGGGCTGCAGTGAGAGATTTTGTTGCTAAAGGATGTAAAAAGATGTTCAATGAAATCATCTGGTAACTCCGCCTCCAGAAAAGTCTTCATGAACAGCTTGAACCCCTCTAAATCAATTGTCTAGAGTAGAAAAAAAAAACAGGAAAAAAAACTTTTTAATTGTTGTTTTGCAAAAAACTTTCATACTAATCCATCAAATAGTATTCTGTTAACAAAAACTTTAGACTGTCTTTGAAAATATGGATATATGGATATCTGAAGATATAGTCTGGCTTATCTATTCTTGAAAGTGACCGATTATTGAACTCTGTATTACTTTGCAAACTCACAGTTTTGCTACAACAGCCCAGAGTAAATTCAGAGCACTTGAACCAGGATCCCCAAATTGAGTTCCATGCTCTCTCGTTTCTTGATGAGAGTATGGCTTAACAGCACATGCAAAACTGCAATCAAAGGCACCTATGGAGCTCACAGGGATGTATCTAGCAAGTCTTAGCTTTTCCCATAATTAGGCAAACAGAGGATTTTTGGATGCTTAATTCACAGAATTGAAGGCCTCCTGTCTTTTCCTAGGTGGCGACACATATTGTTATTTGTCCAAAAGAAACTAATCATCCTGTCTCAAATAGTTTCTAATAGTCAAATGAGAGAACTGAGACACGCAACATTACTTACAGGGGAAAAGAAAGTTGCTGATTTGAAATATTTTCCATTTAGTTTAATGTGATTTTGCTTCTGCCAGCAAGGGAGGAGCTGATTAGTGAAAATTCCTTGATGATTTTTCCTAGTATGACAGCAGTTGTCTGTTTTAAGCAATAAAATGAATCATAGAATATCTCAAGTTGGAAGGGACCCATAAGGATTGAGTCCAATTCCCTGCTCCTCACAAACTAAACCACACAACTAAGAGCACTATCCAGACAGTCCTCGACCTCGGACAGGCTTGGTGCCATCACCACTTCCCTGGGGAGCCTGTTCCAGGGAGTGACCACCCTCTCGGTGAAGAAACTTTCCCTAATGTCCAATTTGAACTTCCCCTGATGCAGCTTCATTCCATTTCCTCATACCCAGTTGCTGGTCACCAGAAAGAGGAGACCAACATCTCCTCCTCTGCTGCTGCCCTTTGAAGACAGTATAGACTGTGATGAGGCCATAGGAATTGTAAAGAATTATGATGCCATTTTACCCTGTGAATATAGAACCACTAAAAGTGTCCTGAAAAACATCAAGAGAGCTTAAGACAATTTCAGTTTTATCTCAGAAGCAGCTGAGACACAACTTCACACTTATCAATGACGCTACCCTGTGACCTATGTGATTATAAAACAGCTTATCAGTCATTAGTCTGAAGAGCATGGAGTTACTGTCTTTGTTTCTAGACCAAACAGGACAGCAACTTTTCACCATTAAATAATTAAGGGTGATTATACCACATTATACCACAAAATTGAACTGGAGAAATTTCCCCATGCTTCAGAAAGATTCCGTTTCTCCATAGGAAACTCTAGAGCAACTCCTTTAGCTCAGCACAGTGAATGCAGCGTTAGGAGGGAAAAGAACAGAAAGAAACCAGCCTGAAAGTGAGCCAGAAAAAAAAAATAAATTGAAACTAAAACCTAAATTTTCAAAGCATCTCAGTGACTCTGGAATCTGAGTCACAGTATTAATAACTTTTACAATTACTTTCATGTCATTTCAACATTTTGGAGCACGGATTTCTCTCCCCCTCCTTCATTTTTTTTTCTTTTCTTTTTTTTTTTTAATATTTAGGAGATGTATAAATTTTATGTACACATGAACTAAGGTGTTTTCCATTAAGGTCAAGACCTAACTGCCTCAGGGTAATGTTTTAAATGTGTATCACTGTCCTTATGAGGGACCAAAACCACAGATTGCAAAATTTGACTGATCTTGTGCAAGTCAATATTAGGAACACAAACTTGGCAAGAGGGTATCTATGCTGAGCTTCTAATCCAGAACACCTCATTTGGGAAAGCAGTTCAGCAAAACCAATAAACCACTTACCTATCAAACATAAAAATAGCAGAGACTGAAAAAAAAAAAATACCTCCACAAGGCTCAAGCTGGGCATAAAATGGAAATAATCAACTTGGACATGGACTCACTGTCTTTGTCTCATCCCAGTTTCAGCCACTCTCTTCTACTTTGGCAAATCATACACTATTTCACTCCTGCTACAAACATTATGTTTTTTCTCACTAATAAAGTCACTGACATCTAACTCACTGTTTATAAACTATGAAAGCACAATGGCAAAAATATTTGTATCAGCACCCAAGCAAATCAGTCATTATTTTACATTATATAAACTTATTTTTTATGTGCAAGCGTAACAAATACATTAATCACTAAATCAACTGACTTTAACGATGTGAAATTGCTTTGTTAGATTGTTCATTAATGAAACCTGTCAGCTATTTCACTAAATTACATACAAATAGGAATAACCAAGTGAAAAAGGAAAACAGAAAAACAAATTTTAGTCCCATTTAAGTTAAGGTTTACGGATGGACATGTAAAATATCTATTGCATAAAGCTTTTTTTTATTTACCTTGTATGTGGATTTTATGTATATAGTACTAAAAATATTTCTTGAGTACACAGGTATCAGATTTTTAAACTGCTGCCTGAGTGGGACTGGGCCACCAAGATGCCAGCAATAAATCCCTAATGCTACATTTTTTCCAGTTACGGAAATATGAAATTATGTCTGGATATAGATTTGGATTAATAAATATGGTTAAAATTACACGTGTCTCTTCCTAAAGACTCTCTTTCTCAAAGATGGTCCCGTTTTAAAATATTTTCTAAAGATAGTCAGGTTACCCCAGTGTCCTCCAAAGCAAGCGTTCCCAACTGCCTTAGATTTTCTGCCCAGGAAAGACAACAGATATCAAAGTAACACAGGATTTGACTTCCATGTGATTTAATATAATTGACACCCTGACTGCCACTGATTAGGGTGCTCAGCAAAGGAAAAAAGAAAGTGGTTGGTTGTTCTACAGTCAGGTTTCTTCAGCTGAAAGTGCTTTATCCTCTGCTCTAACATGCTCTGCGCCCTGTATTCCTCCAGGGAAGCAGCAACATTCAGATAACCAGAGCTCAGATGTTGCACATTCAAAAGCTTTCAAATGATGCTGAAAGTTAGTTAGGAGCTGGAAAGTGACTGGAATACAGATCAGAAATTTTTATTATAATAGTCCAAAATGCAGATGCAAAACCGCATCCTGTATGAAAAGAATGTGCACCAACAATCTGGCCTCTAAAGGAGATCCGTGCAGAGAGCCTTGTGATTAGGTTCTTGCCTATATAAAACAACCCACAAAATCCATGATTCTCATACTTCTATAGGTGAAAAACATCTCATAGAGGACCTAACATACTTGGTATAGATTATCTTGTTAGAACTGAGCTCTACAGCAATGCAGTCATTTCTGGAAATTTGGCTTTGTAAATGTATATGTGGTAAATAACAGAACTGAGCTAGACTACAGCAGATCTAGGAGTAGTTTTATGACGAAAAAGGGGTGAGCTTTCAAAAAATGGCTCACATCAAATTACTTTCAGTGCTTTCTCTATGATCTCTCATTGTAATATACTTATACCATTCCATAACTGTAGAAAAATGGAATAATTTCTTAAAAGTAATACTGTGAGGGCCACTGTAGAAGCCTTAGAGGTGTTAGAGCAATATCACCAAGTAGAGGTTTTAGTATTGAGTATGGTTCACTTAGAACAGAACACTGAAAGATGCAAAACATTTGCTCAGCTTAATTTAAAATAACTTTCACAGAAGAGAGAACAACATAGATATTATGAGCATTTCTCTATTCTGCAAATATATAGCATTTTTCTTTTTTTCCTCATGGAACTTTACCCTTTTAAAATATGAAAATGTTATAGTAAGTAACTACCCTTCCTCTAATCACTAGCATTTCCCCCAGCCCCAGCTGCTTTTTAAAGGAAATACACAATATTTTGGTAACCTGAAAGAGCAAAGAAAAGGAAAACAGAGGATATTAATCTTCCACATTAACATGGATCACACTCAGTCTGCTATGTAAACCAAAATATCTTCCTTTTAAATCTCACTGTCATGTCAGAATTTCTCAGATGAAAAGTTCAATAAATTTTGTTATAGTTTGAAAATAATTTATTTCTGTTAATGAATTCATGAGAATTAAGAAGCTCAGATCAATAATACCAGAATAATATATAAGCCATAATGGTGGAAGTTATTTTCTTAAGCACGCAGGCTAATTGCTTAATTTGCAACAGTTGCTTGGCTTCCAGAAGCTCTAGTTGAATTCAAATGATCCTGAGAAAGAAGGATTTAGAATTTCAGAAGGCATTTTTCCATGACGCTTCCCAAGTGAGGGGATGAGAGCATGAAAGGATGTACCAAACTGACTACAATTAACCAGGCACATGAATTCCATTTCACAAGAGATTATGAGGGCATAAGGAGATTATGATCACAAGTTTAGGGATCTCAGAAAAAATTTCAACATAACAGGGAGCTATATAAGGACACAGTTGAAGCAGACAATAGTGACTCAGAGAAACATTAAAGGACTTTCAAATCATTTGGCCTAAATCTTCTGAGGAAAAGGGGTGGGGAGGAAGTGGGGGAGAGGAAAGGAAGAAAAATCTGTGCTGTTTTAACTTTGATTCAAATAAAAAAGGTACCAAAGACTTTCCTGGAGAGAGAGATGATGATGCCATTTATAGGCACACTGGAGTATGTGGGGAGGTAACATCTAAGACAGTCAGACCCAGGGGGAAACAGCAGGGAAAATCCTTTTTCCAGAATTATTAGCACCTCTGTCACTGCTGTGTCTCTGCTCCTTAATTCTCTTCCTCCATTCTGGCAGCAGCCAAGGAGGCATGACTGGGTAAATGTGGATGGGGTGGGGAGGGAGACTGGAAATGAGCAACAGATCCCCAGATTTGGACTCTTGAGAGATTTCAACCACATCTAAAGGCAACCTACTTGCAGCAGCCGCCAGGCGCTATTGAGGAAAATGGTGATGGAACAGACAAGAGGTTTTTTGAGTTATAAGGAATAATCTGCACTCAGTGGGAGAACTGAGGTAAG